GTAACTTCATCCTTCGCCAACAATTCCTCTGTTTTTATTCTTTACATTTAGTTTATCAATGAGTGAAAATTCCTCAAACATGTAGATATTGTAGAACATTAAAGCTATGGCTGAAAGGTGATAAAAGATACTACTGTATAGTTTTAAAGTGTATAACATTCATTGATCACCCCCCCACCCCTTGGGCTCACTAAAATTTAAGAGTCCTATAAACGGCATTTTATTATATATATATTTTAAATGAACGAGAACAAGATAAATAATAAAAATAACTTGTAAATGAAACAAATCGCACACCCTGGCCCGCGTAACTGCCTGCCTCGCCAAGTCAAACATAAAGAGGTGCTCGCTCCTTGTAACTTGATCAACCATCCTTTGCTTAATGTGGCAATATGTCTTTCTCACATTATATATCAGTCCACTATCAGTTTCACCTGAGACAACTTCTGGATTCCTTTCCATCTGATCTCAATTTTCAGTCACCTGCCATCACACCGAAACCACTGAACAAATCTTTATCAAACTTGTCATAAATTCAGAGGATAGGAAAAAACTAGATCCACACTATTGTAAATGACTTCTGATTAGATGAATAAATAGATAAGAGGAGGATAGCCATGTATTGGACGACTGGCTTAATAAAGAAGAATATAATGTGTGATATAAGCCCATTTTCTTTACTTACAAGACTGGAGTGTTACAGTTACCTCCACTTGTTAGAATATTATCAAGGCAGATGAAAAGTTTCATTTTTGTGGTTCTATGTTGTTATTATTATTATTATTATTATTATTATTATTATTATTATTATTACAATGTTGTTATTGTTATCAATATTATTTCATTTTACTATTAATTATAAATTTTATTTACTGTGAATTATTACATTTTCGCCCCCCAGGCCCCAATGTGGGTCAGTGACCTGTGCCCGGGTGGGCTAATCCTCGTAAAAGAAAAAATAATAATAAAATAAAAAAAACGACTTCCGTTATTAGTATGTAGTATTTTTACTTTATCGTCAAAATGATTCAATATCGTAACTACGTGTGGTACAGAATAACGTTAACAAATCGGAACATTAACCAAACACGAGGAGGGTAACGTTCCGAAATCGTAAAATTAATCACGTTGTATAATCATCATGAAAATTAATTTTGAGTTTGCAATTAAATTTTTTAAATTCTTTATTTACCAGATTATTATTTCTTTATACTTAGGATTCAACAACTGTCGTCAGGGTATTTAGCAAATAAATGTAATTTTAACTTGGAGTGAAGGCGAATGTCCCTACACACTTTTGTATTATACTCCCCCTATAATACGTGATAAAGTAGCTTTGCCGTTGACACTGGAATAATAATAATAATAATAATAATACAGGGGAGTATTACTTTTCATTTCTGTACACACGGCAAATACCTGTAATTGTCAAGTTAAAATTTATACAATTAATGTATAACCATTTATCCACACATTCAATGTTTTACCTGCATAAAGTATTTTATCCCAGTAGTGGTAGTTTATGTACTGGACTCTTCTAGTTCCCACCCCAGTAATAATTATAACCAGTAATATTTGAAGATTTTAAATACTCTTATATTAAAAAGTAAATCAGCTGACGGCTAAACAAAGGGGACACTACAAAGGTACTCAAACTATCCAACCAGGAACTAACTCGTAACAATAGTTTTAAATTGGACAAATTTAGATTTAGGAACGAAACAGGTAAACATTGGTTTAGAAATAGAGTAGTGGACGAGTGAAACAAGTTATCAAACATCATCATTGACTCGAATATGCTGGATAGCTTCAAACATAGGTTTGATGGATATTTGAGCAATAGGGGTTGGGTGTAAATGGGACTGCCCAGTATGGGCCAATAGGCCCGCTGCAGTTTCCCCCATTCTTATGTTCTTATCTTAGATGCCAAATCTGAAAAAAGGCCAAAAAAGTTATAGAAGACTTTTTTAGGAAAATTTGACAATTAATCTTTTTATGGTAATTTTAGGGGGCTGAGTTCAAATTTCCCGGTTGCCGGGCCAAGAAAAACAACCCCTCCTTGACCCTTAAACTGGAATTTCAAGATGGTCGCACCCTAAAAGCATATTGTTGATAAATTTGGTTCCAGACGGGATACAACATTGACTTTGGTGTCTAAACAGTGTAGATCGGTCCAAATATCTAAATTTTAGCTTCGAAGGATGCCATTTCAAAGATGGCGGCCAATATGGCTACCAAACATTGATTTTATATACATGCATGCAGTATGATATACAGGTAGAATATAGTTAACTAGTCAAATATTAAACAATAATATGGACATCTCAATGTCCGTAAAAAGGCAGAGCTGTACAGACTATGAGATTATGATGAATGTGTGTTTTGCAAAGAATCCAAACATGAAAAATTAGTGAACAGTACTGAAAAGGGCTTAGGTAAAGTCTCGTTCAAGATTCTTCGGACACTGCTGGAGACAGCTGGCAACTCAAAGCCGTTTGTTTACTATTGTACGTAGTATAATATAATACGAGACAACAAAGCCAAACCATTAATTAAGCAACGGGGAACTAAGTAACCAATCACCGATAACCGTTTACAATCTTTCATAATTTTTACTACCTACTATAGTAAACAAACTGCCTTGAGTTGCCAGCTGTTTCCAGCAGTGTTTGAAGAATCTTGAACGAGACTGTACATTGCAAAAGATTCGACAAATTTTAAGATCCATCTAATAAATCTGCAATTGATAGATTTGGTGCCCATTTTCAGAACGCAGTTACAAATGCGTTATGTGGCACGAAATGTTAGGCAACATTCACAAGTAAAGAAAGCTTTGCCGTATTGAAAAGAAAGCAGTGATAAGGACACCCAAGCAAGCATTTTTACTCCCGTTATTTTACTGTGAAACTTTTTTTAATGTTTTGTTTGGAAGAATTTCAATACCCTAAGAGTACAAAAGCTAATCACTGGTCTTATAAAAAATAAACTATTGCATCTGAGCCCCTTACGGTACAACAGCTGGGGATGTAGTGTGAGGGTGGCCGCAAGGTCGGGTAACACAACACTACAAACAGGTCAGATTTCTCGTGCGATAAGCTGATACCCGAAGTAGGGTCACTGTACGTGTCAGTGCAGTACTTTAACCGCTGCCTGCCCGCCTACATTTTATATTAACCATCCAAACTTCGTGATCGTGACCACCAAAATTCCTGACGGTGATGCTTACTCAAGATTCACAGTGGTGGAATATTCCAACTCTTAGTGAGTGTCTTCCTAACCATGGGATTTATTCTCTGGTTTTGATGCGCTGACCACTGTTCATCACGAGCCACACAAAAAGGTAATGTCAACACTGCTTGAGATCACTTCACACGAGGCTTTAATTCTATTTCTACATCTTATGTTTTAAAAATCCGAAGACATTCAATTAAATAAATTCTTACAACCAAACTTAATCAGTATGAGTTTTGATAATAATTAAAGAGTGTATAAAAACGGCAAATATTGGGAGGCTCACACACACACACACACACTGTTCATAATTCACTTGCCTGCCATAACTACCACCGACATGAATTTATTTCGACCTGATAACATGGAATTATATTTTAAGGGAAATTATGAGTTAAGATTCATTAAACTTTTCGAAAGTTAAAAACCTGAAACAGAAACACCTTTGACACTAAATTAACGAGGATTTAAGGGAAAAGGGTAAATACTGTACATCAAATGCCTGTATACATAGCAATGGTTCGTTGTCTTTGGAATTTTCACAGATTTTATTTAATGTATAGATTAATAGAATACAATCACGCGGAGACCAAGAAAAACTGCACAATTTATTAAGTAACAGGCATGTTGGCCGTTGGCTCAGTGTCTCCGGCAATTTAGCTAATTGACCAAAACCATCACTGAACTATTATAGGTCTACTTTTAGCCGTAGCGAACCACTGAATAAAGACCAACCTGAGTATACTGTATATCGCTATATGGGTCCTGCCCTGCCTACTAACATCAACCACAGGTCAGTGTTTTGTTTATTCCCAGAAGCCCCCAAGACGTGCAGGACACAGTCATTAGTATAATTTAGACTGATCGTTCATTGCTCCTGCTGCGCTAGAAGCTTCTGCAAATTACACACACTAACTAAGTGTTCCGATAATTTTGTAAAAGAGGAAAAAATATTATATAGACACTTCAGATGTTATCAATGCACAAAATTGACAAAAAGCTGGTGTAGTGTAACATTAACACCAAGAAACATGAAAAAAGTCTTAAAACCGATGGAAAAGATACAGTACGAGTATATCAAAGAAGAAATATTACAGAACACATTGTTATTTATCTTTTATATGTTTAATTTATTGTTCCCGGCCGTTAGACGTGTACCCAAGTTTACCCGTTCAGAAAGTGAAGGCAGTCAATTGCACGTCCATACTACTTGTGTGCCGAAGGCTTAGTGAGCTGCGCACACTCTCCCTGTGATCTCCATTTCTCAACAAACAAGGAGGATGTAGTGTCATAAAGCCTAGTGTTGGTATACTTTGTCAGGGGGATGATTAGGTGTTTACATTATTCATAATGTCTTTATCTCCCTTAGGATCGCCTCTATACACTCTTGGGTGTACTCACTAGTTCATTAAGTCGGGCTACAAGATCCCAGCATTGTTACAGATAATAAGTTCACTGTTTCTAAAGAATTTCAGAGAAATCTTCAGCGTTTGTTAGTCGCAACGTTGTCACGCAAACTTCTGTACAGTATTTCACCCTTCTCAGTACACTGTCCTTGAAATTCATACTGTTGTGTGTGTAAACAAAGATAATTCAGAGTGTTCAGTATGGCGGTCAGCAACTATTATCATGGAAACGTAATGTAATAGCAACCTATCTACAGTATCACAATATGCAGGAACATGCAGAGAGAGAGAGAGAGAGAGAGAGAGAGAGAGAGAGAGAGAGAGAGAGAGAGAGAGAGAGCACCAATTTCTGAGGTGCCTAACCTGATCATTTTGCTGGGTATGTAGTTGGCTGACACGTAGTTGTTAGTGGGAGTGTGGGCAGGGGTAAGGGCGCCCTCACACCTGCACGCCCTCATCCTGCCTGCACGCCTCACACACACACCCACCAATCCCCCGCACGCCCACTGGCCCACCACTTCTCCACACGCCCATGCGGCTCAACTACGAACCCACCCACGCTTGCCTTTTCACGTCCACCTCATTTGGTAACGTGTGATGTTAACTCGAGATTGTTACTGACACATCTGCACCACTGCACAAACAAGACACACAAAGGCAGCACCAATAACACAATGGGAGTCACTGCGTCAGTATCGTCTCCAAATTGTAGATGGTTCTCACGAGGAGGGTACTAGGCTGTCCTGTAGTGGGGTAGGTTATCACATAGGTTCCCAGGATAAATTTTGCCGCAGCATGATTTTAGCTTATTTAGTCTCTGCTTTATTATTGTTCGCTGTTGTTTGCCTGTGATTACTGTTCTTTGGTGTTTCTTTTGTTATTATCGGTTACTGATTCTGATATATTTTCCTGCCAGACGATATGAATTTCAGCACATGTAGTCTCTTGTGTATTATTGTTTCCGGCAGTTTATCTTATCCTTTAATAGTGTGTACTTTAGTTTATACTGCCTCTTGGTGGTGCACATTATTCAAGGTGTTGCTCAAATAAATTATAACACAGACTGAGGAGCTGTTGATGCCGTGGCCTTCAACTATTAGGTAATAGGACACTCGCTTATAATTTATCGCCTAATACTGTTAAATACTAGTGTGTACTATTTCTGCTGTTAGTTCCTGACACCGAGACACAGGTTAAACGTGTTTTATTGGTTAAATCTTCGTTTTTCTTCTCTGAGTTTATTCATCAATCTCAATAAGACATTTCACAATTTTCAAAAGTGTGTTGCTTTAGCGGTTAGATTATAATATCTCAATTCACAAGTATAAATATAAACAAGTTAGCTTTAGTTTCAGGCGTTATTATTTCCTTCTTCCTCCACAGTTACACTTTACCACGCTCATGTTAACCTTATAAAATCCTTTTGAATTTATTTAGTAATGAATGTGATTATTTTAAGTATTATATTCTCAGTTTTCCTTTAGGGATGTGTAGGGATAACTGCATTAAGTTTTAGATTTAGGAAGCGTGAACTGCTAGGTGTAGAGATCAGAAACTCCGCTCACCCTGGCTCTGTCCAGGCCGTACTGCTCGCTCGTACCGCCACACACTCCCTCCCCCTGCTCCGCCCTCATACACACACACACACCTCCCTACGTCACTCCTCCCTGCCACCTCCCTACGGCACTTTACCCCCCACACCTCTCTACGTCACACAACCTCGCCCCACACCTCCCTACGTCATCCTGTCTTTTTGATGTCCAAACATCAAAATTTAATCGCACAGTAGACATATCATTGATGACCTTCGATTCATAACATGCTGCTCCAAATCTGGTGGCTTGAGAGACAACCTCTTTTATCTCAGCAACAATTTTCCCAAGTTTGTCAAGACGATGACCAGATTTCAGTGTCTGTATGGCGGTAACCTTGCCAATAACATAGAGATGAGCGACGGTGTCACATCCAGAAAGAGCGTGTGCTGCCATTATGTCATCAACAAGATCCCTGTGCTTTTCAACTGTGGCCTTGATATCAATGGTAGATCTTGAAGTACTATTCCCCTCCATGAATATCTTGCAGGTTAACTTCTGTGATGAGTAGTAGTGCATCAACACCACATGAGGCAAGAAACAACACCTGTTTTGCTATATTCACATCCGCTTCTTCGTGAAGCGTTTTCATGCCTGGTTTACACATGACATTACCCAACTGAATCTCCTTGGGTACTGAGTGTCGGCCAGTAGTGATGAGCTTTCTACCATTCTGTGGAAGAAGCTCGGCATTCTCCTGTAGATACTGACAGACAAGATCTATCAGTTTCACTTTATTCTCTTTGGCTGTTAGCACAACTTTCTGAGGGGATAGTTGTATGTTTAGGGTCAGCTGATGGCGCTGGTTTGCATTTTTTCCTGCTCTTGACATCCTCATTGCATCTTTGATAATGTTTGGGTAGTACCTGTCAAAGATGAGATATACATCAGTCTTCTGCAATATGTTGCTAATGTATGCAACCATGTTCTTGATGAAGTTCTCAACTGTACCCCTGGAAGGCCTTGAGATGATCTATAGTACAGCACATCCATCTACCACAGATACTTCAGTTTGTTCAACGAAAAGAGAAGAAAGTTCCACTCCTAACCTTTTCTTCAAGGTGGCCTTACTCTTCGCTGCCCGCATGTCACCATTGGCTTCAAATAAGAAAGGTGGCACTGGTGATAATTCATACTGAAGCACATCTTTGATACTGATGTCATGAACTTGCTGCAGACACAGTACTCTTGAAATGAAATCAATGCATCAGTTTGTTGAGTTACTATTGCCACAAACATAAAAATCAGTTAGCCAAAATATTAAATACATAATATCAAATATTTGCTAAATTATTATATAGGCTATAATAGAAGAAGAATATTAGTCTAATTTTAAATAATATCAGTTAGCAAAAATAATACCTTTATATGGTGATTTCAAGTTTAAAATAGAAAACAAGGTATATACGGCAGCTATTTTAGACGACATTTTAAATACGTCTTTATATTCCAGAAACAGATTTAAAATTACTTTTATTACACTCCTTGACCCTGAAAACGGAAAAAACAACAACAACCAAAATATAGTTGTTCTATGATGCTTAGGGGTTGAAATATCAAACTTTATATGATCGGCGGGTTTCTTAGCATCCCGGGATTCTGGGACAAACCAGGATATTTCCCGGGATCCCAGGATTTCCCTCATCAGGTGATATTTGTCCTAACTAATGCTATATGCTAACCCTATACTTCATTAATGTAGTATCTGTAGAGTATTTGATAGGCAATTGATTTGATAAATTATATTACAGTGAAGCAAAGTTCTCTTTATTAAGTTGCATACTGGTGTAAAAATAGGTACATAATATGATTAAACAAGCAAATTTTTAATTAATCTCATTCCGTTAGCCTTAAAAGAAACTCACAGACATTTGGAATAACATTCAAAGTTAGCTATTATAAAAAATAAGAATTCTATATTTAATGCCATTTGGAAGCCACATTCTACAAAAACCTAAAGCGATCACTCGAATGACCTGTGAAAAAAATAATAGCATAAAATCATTTGTGCACACAAGCCACACAGTTACGCACACATCAAAAGTTGTTCATGAAATAACTCTTCAAGAAGCACAGACAGTCAATCTCATTCTGTTAGCCACAAAAGAAACTCATGATATTTGGAATGACATTCAAAGTCAGCCATTATAAAAAAAAAATTCTATGCCATTTGGAAGCCCTACTCTACAAAAAACTTAAAGAGAACACTTGAATGACCTGCGTTTTTGTATTTTACATGGTGCAAATCAGAGTTAAGGAATAACAATAAGAATCCCGGGATTTGAACCAAATTCCCGGGAAAAAACATAACCACTTACGCCCGGGATCCCGGGAAGGAAACCCTAATGTAGACAGCGTGTTTGGTGTTTGTGGCCGCTCATTTTATTTATTTTTATTTTTTTAAGAAGTTAAATACGTAACAAAAGAAGCCGACACTCATAGTAATTAATATTTAATTTGATGTGTGCAGAGTGTGTAAGAGGGAATTATCAAAAGACGAGGCTGTGTGAATAACTACTTCACTATGAGAACATTGGCTAAAAAAAGAAAGCAACTGTATAGATAAAAACTATTGACCGAGATGACACGAGGGTCTGGGAGTGTGTTCCCAGAGTATGGTAAGGAAGGACATTGCTGGAGGCTGTGTTAGGTATCTGATAAGAGAGTGTGATGTGTGTAAGAAAGATGAAGCTGGAAATAAACAAGGATGGATTGTATCACCAGGTTACAGAGCAGTCATTAAAATTGTTGGTTAACGGAAATAATAATAGATTTTATTGTTAGCAATGATCTTCTATCGGGATGATTTCATTTGCAATTCTTGACTTAGAAAAAATATAATAACAATATGGTGAACGAAGCTGAGACAACGTAAAATGTGAGCGTGATGTTACAGCCAAGCTGGTCTTTTTTAGTGAAACAGAAGACAAAATACAGACAAAAAGAAGCTTAAGGGATTTACTGTATATCTGCATAACACCTTCAGTCGAGGCTGAGTTACTACACCAGTTCTGTGAGTCAGGCAGACTGCTAGAACTTTTGTGAAACTAATAAGAGGAAAACACAAGGTGTCAGGTTTCGGGACTTAAGTGGCATGATTCACATTACGGTATGTTGGTGATACTTGTGACTGTAACACCTGATTGGACAATAAAGTGAATGGAAGTTTTACAAGTCTCTATAATGAAGTAAACAAAATATCAATCAATAAAGCACATCATTATTATATATTTAATAACAAACGTGTTTATCGTATTAAATGCATGATTTATTCTACAAGTGTCACACACACACACACACATTGTATTTTCTTTAATCACAAATCTCAACAATGTTGGAGAAGGCCCACATTAAGTATGTACAGTTAGACCACAGTCAAGGTCCAAACAGTGCAATTAATCTCTTTTTAATTGTGATTTCTCATATAAGCACAAAAACTCTCTTTATAAACATTTTATTCTTAATACAGGATACTTGAGGACACTGAATAACTTTGATGCTTATGATAATAGTCAGTTTAATGATGATCTTTGTCATCTTAGTGTAGACTATTTGGTTTATGTACCCTAAACATTAGCTGATTTTACGGAATTATCTTCATATTTCAAAAATTTATGTGCCATTACTAAGGCAAATGCGTATATTGTAATGTATGATACAGAGCTAACTTATTTGACACGAGGTTTAATAATGGTGATATTAATAACAATAATAATAATAATAGAAACAATTTGTGGTGTCTATAGTGGCGTTATACAGACACACTGTTGAGAATTACAACAGTTCACTACTCACTCCAACAACTTATCATCAGCAAAGAGCTTTAATAAACAATGAAATAACTCACACAAATATTTCAGATTTTTTCTATGTTATCATATTAGAATGTATACATTTCAATACAAACTTTTGCTTCTTGTATAGTTTGTGGTTTCTAAAATCTGGATAAGTGTGGCTCTACCTTGTCTTGTGTCACACTTTAAGGTCTTCGTACTTAGAAGAATTAAAATTATGTGACTTGTATTTTAGATGTTCTACTTCACCAGTTTGTCGGCGAGGAAAGTGATGGTAAGGTCTTGCATCATTATGTTGTCAAGTCGTGCATAGTCAGCAGTTGTGAGGACGCCAGCATCGAGGAGAACTGGTGGAGGGCGACGGTCGAAGGGGAAGCCCATTGGTCTACTGTCAGGAAACTTGGCATCCAGGACCCCACAGAAGGACACGGCGTTGGCACAACTTCTCGCTCCTTGTGCCTGCTCCACCTGTGAAGGGCAGCAAGGCAATCATGATTTATTTAACCATCTTACTTCAGTCCCTTCTACCTGCATGGCGCCGAACACGAGCTGGACCACTATTAAAGGACCAAGGTCAGAGTAGCTATAGTTCACTCAGCAGACATAGATACCTCATGGGACAAACCTTAATGTTGCTTTTACACACACACACACACACACACACACACACACACACACACACACACACACACACACACAATCACCCTTAGGATATGCAAACCAGAATGATAAATTTTGCTCCCTTCAAGTTGCCGTAACTCCCTCAGGTGTATTTGGAATGTGCTGATTTTCTCTCAATTTAAACCATTGTTACATATTCTTGTCTATCAGAGTCATTGCTTCATAAAGAAACAAGTTTCACAGAAAGAAAGATGAGTTGGTACTTTTGGCGCTTAACTCAAAAAGATTTGTCTAAATATAACTAAATTAATGTGCTGGGTTTTTAGGTCGAGACTCTGAGGTTGTTCTCTTGGTACTGAGCAGTTGAACCTGATTTTACAGAACCAGGCTTAGGTATGGCTGGAAGGTTTGTGGAAAACAAAATAAGATCACTTGTCAACCAAAAGAGTTTAGATTTACTAACACTTAATTGCATGTGAGCAGCAGCAGCAACTTTTAGATATTATAAAAGAATAATACTGACGACAAGTGACTGACCTTGTCCTTCTCGAAGTCTGTAATCATGTAGAAGAGCTGGTAGGCCATACCCTCAGGTTTTCCTCGGGGTAGCAGGAGGTGCTGTGGCCATCCACACCCACAGAAATCAAACTCGGTAGCTTCAGTTCCTGGAAGAAACGGAAATATGATGGAAAGGGACTCTTATGCATTTTACAATTTTCATAGAGGAGACTACAACAACCATCGATTCAAAGAACTATATACTGGAGGTGGTGTAAAATTCATCACCTCGGACATGAGTCATTACATTATCCAGTCCCAAAAAACCATAGGGTAATATTTGAACACAACCTCACTCCTGATCATTCTTTGCAACACTTGTTTTCTGTGCACCTTCAGGACTATTTAAAATTGTCATTACATACTTAAAACTCCAAACCCTTTCCAACTCTCACATCTCTACTTTCTTTTAAAACCTCGCTTTATCTTGTATAGCATTTACCTTCACTTCCTTCCTCACATACAAACTACTGTACTGTACTTAGTTCCCTCACTATGTCTTGTTGGTCTTATGCCATATTAATAATAATACTGTAATAATAATAATACAAAATATAAAAAAATAGAATAATAATAATTTAGTAAAGTTGTCATACAAGTTTGCAAATGATAAGCATGTATAATTATAAACTATGCTGTGGAGTATAAAGTTTCATGTGCCCTAGACACTGCATGTAAACAGCAGTGGTAAACAGTAAGGCAATGTAACCAACTGCTCATTTTATTCTATTCCTCACTGGTCGCTCTGTGCCGTAACATGGTACTGTACTGTAGTGCATTCTCTTCGCCTTTAGTGTAAGAACATTAAATATGCCTTTAATGTTTCATGTCTTAGAGGAGCATTAATATTTTTAAAGTGATTTATAAAATATTTTATTTTAGTTTTTAATAAGAGATGATCAGGTGAAGAGAGCCTAGAGTACACAAATCAACAGCATTGACGTAGCCCACGACACTACTTGTTTTATTGCTCCGCGAATTCATTTCTTGGAGAAGCATTAAATACTCTTAATACTGTATGCTTCATTAAATAAGCTTTGAAATGGTTAATAAATAAATATAAAACGTAGATACTCCTTCCGCTGATGAAAACATAGTTCCCTGACAGCAATAGATGGCAGTACGAGCAGGCATACCTTCTGGCAGCCAACCACTATGCTGTTCTCTTGTGACATGAGTAGTTGGAGGAGAGAGAGGAAAGTGGAAGGGTGAGAAGGGAGAGAGGAAGGAGGAGAAAAGAAGGATAAGAGAGGAATGATGAGAGAGGAGAGAGGAAGCATGAGAGAGGAGAGAGGCAGCATGAGAGAGGAGAGAGGAAGCATGAGAGAGGAGAGAGGAAGGATGAGAGAGGATAGAGGAAGGATGAGAGAGGAAAAAGGAAGGATGAGAGAGGAGAGAGGAAGGATGAGAGAGGAGAGAGGAAGGATAATAGAGGAGAGAGAAAGGAGAGAGAGGAAATAGAAAAAAAGGCGTTAAAAAAGGTGGAGAGAAAGAAGAAGTAAAGACTGGTCAAAGAAAGTTGGTTTAAAGATAAATTAAAAATAATAATAATTTAAAACAAAGGAGAAACGTAAGGATACAAGGTGACTGGTGAATCAACCTTCAGTCGAATCGGGGGGTTGTGCGTATTATGTGACGTTGTTGGCCGTAGTGGAAGAAAAGTGTAGTAAGGGACTCGTTTATTATCCCGGGTGAGACGACCAACCCGCTGTATTAGAAGATACTCTTGCCATCTATTCTGATTTTCTCATCCCCTGGCACACTATCTTTCAGTTAGCCGCTCGAACCTATCATGTAATTATTTTTATGATATTCCAATTATTATTATTACAGATTATTATTATTATTATTATTATTAAAAATCTTCTTATTCTCTTTATTATTATTTATACTCTTATGATTTTGCTGCCAGTATCAGTGTAAAAGCAATTAAGTAATCATAGGCATATGGTCTAGCTATTTATTGAGGGGGGGGGAGGAATACAAGAATTAAATAAAATAGTTAAAGAAAATAATAAAAAAATTAATGATTGTAATTATCACCATTCTCTTTCGCCCAAGCTATTACAGTATATTAGTGAATACAAGTATATATGTGTGTGTAAAGGTTTTCAGCTTAATATGGCAAGTAGATATATTACAGGTGACTAGGCTATACAACAGTTTCAAGCAACAAATTGGTACTTGTCTCTCCACATCCGGTTTCCTGGCCGAGAGTTACGCCCGTAATATTAAACAACATCTTCTCTTGAAGAGGGTCGTCGTGTTTCAACCTGAGTTTTAAACTAAATGAGTCCTGAGGGACACCGCAGTACAGTACTTAACGGGGTGGTGTGGCGGTAAAATTAACTAATTCCATTAATATAAAATAATTTTATTGGAATTAGTTAATTTTACCGCCCGTTAAGTACTGTATTGCGGTGTCCCTTAGGACTCATTTAGTTTAAAACTCGGGTTGAAACTCGACGACCCTCTTCCTCCTGTTGCACCTTATATATTTGCTGCATGCATAATAAAATCCACTTTTTTATGTTTTTTATCCTTTGGAAATATATCAATATCAAATTTTTATCATGTAGTCTGTAATTTAATATGCATCTAGATATGGCGCATTTATCAGGCATTGTCACAAACCCTCACACAACGACAGCCAGCCAGTAACTTAACCCCCCACCATCGGGCCGCAGACCAGACGACGAAAGGCGCGGCGAAGGACGTAGTTTCGACTTGAAGTGGGTTGAATTGGTTTAATTAGACTTTTAGTCGAATTTTATACCATCTTCCTATTTCCCAGTCAAGGAACACTGCCCAAATAATCCAACTCTCCACTTACCTGGGGTCATAGGCCTCGAGTCCAGGTCCCTGAATGTGAAGTCAGTGGGGTTGGTGATGGAGGAGTCCTTTGAGGAGCGCACTATCTGGTTCTTGCCGGGGTTCACTGTTGGAAGGTCACTGGCGTTAATTTACAGCTATGAGAGCCATCACTCATACAATAAATAAACAATAACTCAGTGTAAATACTAAAGATTTAGTTGTATGTAACTGTACAAGCAACTTGAGCAAGAAATATCCACAATGCGTTTGAGGACCGTCGGCCAAGAGGTTCAGAAGTAATACAGATACATGTACGGTATTTATGAATATTCGATGGATAATGGATGGAAGATCTAGAGGAGTCCTCAGGAGGTACATTTATTAGTCTACTAATTATTCATCACAATGTATGTTGGTGTATATTTTTTTTTGCTCTTTTATGTACAATATATGTACAATTCAGTATTTATATGCAGTATTTATATGCATGTACAGTACAGTTACCCACGTAATGTTCCTCACCTCACAGGTGACTAGGTGCATGTGGCAGGGCCGCAACTGGGGGATGGTGGAGGGACAACAGTATCCAACAACATAATTATACCATAAACATATAATATCAAAAGGACATTTAAATGTAAAGTCCCCCTCCACCATCCCCCAGTTGGGGCACCTTGACTGCGGCGGTGCCGCACATACCAAGGATTGCTCGTGAGGCAAGATACATAATATGTACTGTGCAATACGTACAGTATATACAGGCAACTGTACATAAATCCATAACCAAGGTTCTTATTCACTGATTTCAAAAACTAAATCTAATTTTATTAGATTTTGTGTACAGTACAACTTAAAATTCCTGCATATTTGCAAGTTATGACCCTTGTTTTACAAATGTTACAAATTGCTTTATGTTCAGTAACTTGAAAATTACTTAAATGATCAAAATCAAATTCAGTAAACAATTTCCTGTTAATTTCATCTTTTTTTAATTTGGAGAATATTCATTTTACAAAAACAGTTGTATTACAAGAGGGGTTTTCCGTTTTTAAGGCAAAGACTCCTGTTTCCTCACTAACTTAGCACGATTCGATACTGTTGGTGGAGGAGCGATGCAAGAAAATGGAACGAGTGCTTCAAGTACTCTCCCTTCACCTTTGGCAGAGTGAGTTATATCAACATGAACATCTTAATCATCAACTTCTTATATCTAAAAGTCATACAGCAAAGTTATATTTCAGAAAGCTTCTGCGTAACAGTGTTATTATATAATCCTTAATGGCTGTGATATAACTATTACTTATAGTATGTACGTCAAGTGTGACTCATAACTTACACGTGTGGTTGAACTTGTCCATCTCGGCCCATAAGATACGCTGCTCCATGAAGGGCATCTCCGCCCCCGACCCATTGTGTTTGGGTGCCAGGAAGATCCTTACTGTTACAACCTTTGGATTCGGTTCAGTGTTGGTTACCTGTAAACGAGAAATTGTTATTCAGCCCCAATTTCAACAGTCAGTCACACAGTCCTTTCTTGTAGATACCAAATATCTTCATTCCTTTCTCATTTCTGTATAGGATAGAACAAGAAACAAAGAAAATGAAGCAAAGTTATAGGGAAGGTGGAACAAGGCCACTATGGAGAGCAACAGGAAAGAGCTGAAGACAACAAATGAAAATATGTACCAGGTTCTGTTTTCAACTTCCATATACATTATCTATAAAGAATCCTGAAACTCCATTATGATTTGTAATGCCTCCTATCGATTCTTTGTGCATACCAAGCTGAACCCCCAAGTTCTTTCAAGTTGACAACATCATGTACGAAACAACTCCAGTCTACACAATCAACAATACAGAGTTCGTTACTCCACCTATATACTAGACTATTTTTTCTTGGCCTTCCCTTCACTTTCTTGCCCCCAATTGTGTGATCTGTCGTGTGCTCAATATGCCCAAATCCTCTTCTGCCTGTGTACATCATCAATCTTGACTCTACCAATTACCCGAACTCCCATAATGATTCAGAGGCTGTTTGTTTCTACGTTTAATCTACCACTTGTCCTAGATGTAAATTTTGATCAAGTATCATTCCTTTCCTACAACTACCTGTTCCTCGCCTACGGACAATTCTGTAGCACATCTTACACGACTAATCAATAGCCTTTCATGTACACTCCCATTGCAAGAACTCACCTCAATGTGGTAGTTGAAGGGGACGCTATCCAAATGGGTGAGGCGTAATATGACAGGTTTGGGGGAGCTGAAGTCAATGCCTCGACTAGCTTCAAAATCACGCGTACTCCAGCCAGTGGTCAATTTGTTGATCTCTCTCTTGCTGGTAACACTCACCTGGTTCATTACCACACCAGGCATTGACAGCTGATGCAAAAAGATGAAAGGTAATAATAATCTTCCCTAGTCTAAAACATATGGCGGAAAATAATTATTAGAACAAAGGTACCAGGATATACCATCATGGTGCTTCAAATCTTCTTTAACAAAATCTTTGACATTACACAAAACAATACTTAAGCTCAGTAGCACCGAGATGAGAGATCCCGTTGTCTTGGCCTTACTGTTCATTATCTGATTATATTCTCAAGATGATCAATGGTGGACATATTGTGCAGTTCTGATATCAGGATTTGGAGATAAGATGAAACAGATGATTTGGAAATTATTACTGCGCGTGACCTAAAATTCATTGCTGTGTAAATCTTAAACTCAGTAAATTTTCACATTAAAAAATGTAAAGTTCTTAAGGTAACAGGTTTCTAGCATTGGTAACCAAGCAGGTGTCCATAAAGAAAACAATAACCAAAGATAATGACAGAATGGTACACTTACATCTTCCATGGTGTATGGTCTCTGTGTCAGCTTGTATGCCTGAAACACATCGTCAATAAACTTGTGCAACCGGTAGAACACAGGGTCCCTCATGGAGGTCGCTGGATCCCCCAATACTCCCAACTCCTCCTGTGAAATCAATTTATTGTGTGTTTTTTTGTTTCCTTGTGGTTATCAGCATATACTTGGATCACTCGCACCTACAGTGATTTATTTGCATATATATATATATATATATATATATATATATATATATATATATATATATATATATATATATATATATATATATGATAAATCACACGGAAAAAGAAAAGCTAAGGTGCTCCTTTCTTTTCCCGTGTGATTTTTATCAAGATTTATCTTATCCACGTTTTCATTGTGATCTACATATATATATATATATATATATATATATATATATATATATATATATATATATATATATATATATATATATATATATGAATTCTTGTTCCCTGAATGTACTGTATATTATGTCATGAATGTTTTTCAGACACTTGTGCTTATTACTGTTCCATGTTCAAAGCACCAATGATGACATTATTTATAAAAAAAAATATTAATGAATATCACAGCAGATGCGGAGTTGGTAAGAAATTTGTATTTTTATGATGTTTATTAATATTCATCAAAGTCGAAAATCGAGTGAAGTAATGGTAAAACCTTTATAAATATTGCTTCAGATATTCAAGGGTACAGCACACAAAAGTAAAGAGTGAAAGTTTAGATAATCCAATTAACTGTAAAGAAATTACTTAAGATGCGAGGAAAAACATTTAGAGGCCAACACACATTTTCATTTATAAACAGCTATAATACTTGTCAAACAACTTTTTTGACTGGAGACGTGTAAATTACCTCTCAAATGAATCGATACATCATGTAGCTAAATATTTAATAGCGATAAAATTATGAGTTTTTCGTGATCTACAGTATGTCCGTTGGTGCAGCGTTGTAGCCATGTGCATTATTGTACAGTGCATCAGAGGCGAGACTTTGAAAATATATCAATAAATTAAGGCTTCATCTGAAAAAAATTGTATATCTTACATTGCGAAAAGAATAAAATTTGCTATGAATTCTCCACCGAGTTAGCATCCCTCACTCAGAAAACAATATTTAAACAATATCTATGAATTGTAATGATTGACAAGGATAACAAAAGTGGATGGAGCATAACCGATAGATTATTTTGTATCTATTACTGACATGTACAATATTTATCTATTATTAATGTGTACACAACAAGTATCTATCATTAATATGTTCAACATTTATTTGTTATTAATAGCTTCAACACGTATTTATCAAAGAATTTTCCCCAATTAATTGGAAAATAACTCTGTTTTTAGCAATACTCAGGGTGGGATCACAAAGCTTCACCAGATGGTCTGACTATGAGTAAAGATGACAGTTTGCATCACGTGCTGTAGTGCTGCATTTAGTTATAAGTGAATAAAGGATATGATTTTACCATTACAATGACCCTAACCGTCTGTTAGACATTATCATTTCCCCATTGTTTAAGTAGTGATATTTGCATATTTGTTACTACAGTTGCAGAGATTATAGTTCCTGAAGAGTGTGGGTTACCTTGTGGGCATTGTCATTGTCGTGAGAGAAAGAAATAAGCACATGACACATGTTGTGAAGGTCACCGTAGAACTGGTAATGAGGACTGAGGTCAGCATCTGCCTCTAATGTATCACCCAGTATGTCAACCCCTCGTTTTCCCGATGTGACGTCATCAGACAGAGGGATTGTGTCACCATTTGGCTGCCGAGAAAGAAATGTATAATTCATTACGGTTAGTTACTGAATAAACTTTATCACTATTTAAATATTATTTTTCTCTATCATTTCCAGATAAATAAAACTTAAAACAAGGAAATAAGTTTGTACACATCATGTTTAACTGGCTGGCTTACTCTGCTGTGCCCGGGTGCATGACAGGAGAGTGCGTGACCATCCCCTGGACCATTAGCACCTCTCAACCAAATAGAAGCGCACTATTTTCATACTGTATACATAAGCAGCCTGCAGACAGGCAAACAGACAGAAAGTATGATATATTCAGTATAGATAAATGACTCACATTTTTCATGTAGCCCTGGTGGATGGCATCCAACAATCGGCTGCGCCAGACCTCCAATTCAGTAATGTCAAGTGGCTGTAATCCAAAGTCATTACGCCGGAAGTCCTGGAGTGAAATAGCAATTTAGTACAGTGTACTCTAATAATTGTCTTTAAATCCTGTGCTATCAGTAGTGAAGCCCATAACGTGTGCTATTTGACCTAATGTTAGCACATAAATTACGCATGGCACAAAAAGGGTGTCGAATTAGTCAGGTTCAAGTATATGTATGTATGTATGATATTACAGATGTTTCATCTATTACAGTACAGTACAGTACAGTACGGGCCTCCTCTGTGATTGGCCCTCTCGCTACGCTCACCCCAAATCCTGATCCTCGTAAATTGTATAAATACGGCCATGCCTGGACAGGGAGACCAGGAAGGCCTTCTTAAGTCACACAGACACACTAGACAAGATGCTCTCCATAGTGGGACCACCTCCAATCCTAAATCCGGTCTGGCTGCTCCAGGAGCTCCAGCCGGAACCACCAAACGGGCCGCCTATAGGCAAACGCCCGTGTCGGACTACGGTCCGACATTCTCAACAACAACGACAGGGAGACCATCCTACTCTGACCTACAGGACCAGCAAGATCTCTCTCCAGCACCTCACCACCCAGCTTCCTCAGAGAGCTCCTCGCCCTACAGGACCTCTGAGCAAGCAACACCTCACCCAGTAGTAACTCCTTAGCGCTACTCTGTACATTAATATATAAACAGAAAACGCATCGTGAGTTTCTATTCTACCTCATTCCTGAGTGTGAGATATCTACATGTGCGTACGTTGTGTGGCCATACGAAGAGATAATAGACATCTAAAGATAATTGACTACTGGCCACAATACAGTACGCTACACATCCACACTTTATTTTACTTCCAAATTCCATGGTATCTTCTGGAACTCTACATCTTTATTGTACTACGTAATTAGCATATAATTATTTTAATTTTATTTTAAACCTATAATCACAATATAATATACTGTACTTCTCAAACTCACTGCAGGCGGACAAGACTCATCTCCACCAGCTCAGTCACTCAACCAGTTGCCAGCTTTTCCAATTTCTCCTCGTTTACTTTAAAGAAATATGTACCAAACTAATTTATAACATTGGGCGTGCTAGAAAATAATGAAGTACAGCACCAGTAATTTAGTGAATTAAGTAAGGATATTGGTAGTGAAAAAATAATACATTTGTTTTAGCATATTTTCATTATTACTTTGGATAAATAATTACAAAAACAGGAAGATAAAATAATTTCGCAACTTTGGGATTTTGTCGTAAATTGAATCACGGGACACGATTTTTATTGTATCTCCACATTTTTCATAAAGGAAGAATGCCTGTACATGAACTTTTACATCGGGTTGATAATGAATTCAAAGTGCGAGGATTATTTGAGTCCCATAAACTTTCTTTAATTTGGATGTAGTGTTAAGAATGAGACTCACCTTCAAGTAGGTGTTGTCCTGACGGGTTCCCCAGGCCCGGCCAGAGTTGTTGACAGTCAGTTTAGAGAAGTAGCCATCTGGAATTGGGATGCGCCAGTTCTCCAGTTTCTCTACACGTCGAAGACCAACACTCAACCGTTCCATATCATACCTGGTACAGTAGCATCATGATTTTAACCATGATTACTGGGTCACTATGATTGTTCATAAACTAAAAGACAGTTTTTAAAGATATAAATGGCTAATCATCCTTTTATCCTCCCTTACCTGGCTATCATCTGCTGATGCATGTAGAAGAAAATTTCACCTTTTCGGTCGCGGATGAGGTCCATTTCAATAGGATACACAAGGTGCCAGTGCCAGTGGTGTACGTTCATACCGTAGTCTTCCCGCCAATAAGCCACTCGGTGTTCTGGTTTGATGGCACTGCTCGAGAAATCAGGTCCATGTTCGATCACGATCTGTGTCTCCTGAGGGGGGAGATTTTTTTTTTAACCAATAACCATGATTAGTCTTCACCCCATCCACTGGGGGAAGTGCCTTGCAGTTTGTAGCAAGGCAGTTGATTGGTTGGCAGATGTACATAGAAAGTCACTACAGTGCTTCAGTATTTATTCTATCGTATTTTTATTCTGATATTTTAAGGGATAACATCTATTCCGTGTTGATCTCTAATAATTTATGCACTTTAGGAAGCATAAACTAGCATGTGAAAAGCTCTGTCAACAAAATAATATCTTAAAAAAAACAGGAACATGATGAATATGTTTTGAGATGTAAACTCTCTCCACGTGACGTAACTCAGAGGGATGGAGGATGTCTGAAAAATTTTAATATTTTTTCTTGTTCAATTCCAGATATTTATTTTTTTATCAATAATTATTCTTGACAAAAATAAGTATACTGCAATTTTATCCCATCCTCTCCAAAATGGGCTTACATAATTTTATTTATCTAAGTCTATTTTCTACAGTACCACGGACTAAATTAACGAAATCAATTTTCTCACCTATTTCTAACCGAACCAAAGTTACTATAATGAAACTTATTTTAACTTAATATATCCGACCATCACCTAACGTTTGCTCTTGTAAAACCCAAGATCTAAAATTTTAAAAATGTGTTGTTTAGATCTTCAAAGCGCGTTTGGACCAAGATGTATAGTGTAACGGCGGGACTCTTAAACAAGCCAGTAGCTTCTCCCAGCTAAGTTGTAACTAGGCTGTAAGAGGATAACGTAAAGTTAATGTAATGTGACCACTGAGCAAACAATGTAATTTAGCGTCACCTAACGAATTCTTTGATACATTTCCATGAAAGTTGTTTCACCCAGATTCTCGATGGTCTTTGATCACTGTACATAACTGGACAGTCTAGTATCCATCTTTCAAAGCAAGGGCGTATCCAGTGGGGTCCTGGGGGTCCGGACCCCCCTTTTCACCAGAAAATTCCAGTACTTTTTCGTTTATGCAGTACTGCACTCAGGCATTTCTGTATAGTAAAAAATATTTACCATTGACTTCAGAATAATTTATCTCCTAGTATCAAGTGCGCATGGCTTCAAAATGGCCATGATACTGGTCAGAGTTCAAAAACAATTCTGGGGGGGCTTACAGCGCCCCCCATAAAACCCCCCAACTGGATGGGTGGCTGCGCTCACCATGTTCCCCCACCCACAACTTCTTAGACCCCCCCCCCCTTTTTTATATTCCTGGATCCGCCCCTGCAAAGTAACTGATTTTTTTTACACCACGATATTCCGATGACACTGACTGATACAAGAACACTTATGACAACACCAAGGATTATGATATTCCTTGGACAACACATGTGGTCAATCGGCTGACTTGGCTTAGTTGTCACAGACGCCATCAGAGGACCGCGGGGCTTCAAAGCGCGCATTTCAATCCACGAAAAGAGAAGTTGATTTACAAAGCAACCGATCTGAAGGGTTAATAAGTTATCGTAATTTTGTCATATATGTTATATTTACTAATGATTAAATCCGAAATAATGATTAACTAATTAATCGTAACCATGCCTAAGCCCCATGCCTTAGAACTGTGTACATTATACTCAGACCCAACTTACTGGCCTAACTCTTATTAGGTAATCTACCACTCATTCACATAATTACTATCTTTAGTGATTTGTTATATGACTTTAAATTTAAGAAATTGTGTTGTTATAAGTCTAAATCTACTCAGACTCACCTCATTTTCGTCTCGCCTGACGGCCTCTTGCTGTGATTTAATGAGATGTTCCACCGGTACAAACTTCTGTGGGAACACCTCCACCAGTGATGGCAGCCGGAAATTTCGTAATTCCTGTTGATGTAACACAATCAACTGATAGTAAAAAGTATTTTAAAAGGTGATAAAATGGGAAACGTGTGAAGTAAGCTGACAAAACTGTTGGTGTAGTTTTAACTTAATAATTACTGTGAAGAAAGATGTAAGTATACCAAGTACAGATTGATATATAGATAACAGTAAGTGTTTAGAAGGTAACTGGACGGAGAAACCCAGGGAAAATAACTTTGTATTAAATTGTGACCAACGAGTATAATTACCTTTTTGTGAAGGATGACAAAGGAGAGAGCGTAGATGAAGAGGCTCTCGTTGACAACACCCTTGACTCTGGCAGCGAACTGTACCAGGTCCTGTACCCCGGTGGTCTCTGGTCGGTGGTAAGACACACACACACACACACACACACACATGACATCAGTAAATCGTTCACCAGTCACATGATAATGTTGACAACTGACGCAATATGTCATGAAGTCCTCTACCTATCTACACATGACATTCATTGTATTTATATGACGCTGTTGCTAATAAGGTTGACTACACAGACTAATGTTTTATCCTTATGTAACACTGTGGCTACTAAAAGTAATGCACTGTATTTATATTTCCATGTATCAAGTGAAAAGTCTACAGAGAAATGATCAAATGTCAATATAAATTTAAACCAACTGTGGGTGTACTCACTCATGAAGGCATCGCAGAGATCTTTGGCGGCTCGACGATGTGTGCTGACGAAGAATGAGAAAGCGGAGCCGCGGGGGACAACGGTGGCAGTTCCTAACCTGCTGGGGTCAGCGTCAGGACGCTTCGGTAACGTGATGGCAGGCCTTGTACCTACTCTGGTAACCACCACAGGCTGCAATACACACAAAGTTGACGCGCTATTAATTTCCTTCTTTTGTTCAGGGACCAGCTGAGAGACGTTATGGTTGGAAAGTTAACCAACAAGACTAATTGTTTAATACTTGCACAACAAAGGTTATTTTCGGCATAACAATAATAAGGACGATTTTAAGATGAATCATCTCTTGCATGTCAACACACTAAGATACTATAAGCAATGATAGAAATAAATCAGATATTTATTACACTCAAATGTTTATTAATAAAGAACCGGGAACAGTGTGCTGCGAGAATTGTGGTCCAACAGCTACCTCGTTTACATAGAAACTAAATGACAACATGAAACAGAAGATGGACAATGAAAATTAATACTATATAAACAACAACAGTGGTTAAGCTAATTGTACTCACCCTTTCCTCCAACGCGAAGACGATGGATTCATTTGCCCGAGGTGTGGTAACTTCAGAATAGGGCTTCTCAAAGAGGCTCAACAGAGACTGTGCTTCAGACATCTTCTCTCACTGAAAACATTCACTGTCATTAATGATCGCCTTTGAACCAGTGTAAGAACCACTCCCGAAGTCACTCTGAAGAATTAGATAAGTGCCACAGTAAGTCATCTATTAGGTGCCTATTGACCTACCTTAGCAACCCCCAAAATAGGTCAAGTCAGCAACAAAGTGCATGTTGGCCTGTCATGTCCTAAGAGACATTAAAAAAATTAAGTCAAGTTAACCAAACTATGCATGTTGACCTGACCTAACATACCTCAGTGAACCTGGAGGTCACCTACAAAATTTAAGGTGATGTACACACGTATGATTAATATTGACCTACCGTGACCTTAAAGACCTGGAGAACTAGGTCAAAGTCACCATAATTTAAATACAAAATGTACACACGCATGATAAGATTGATCCACTATGCTATCAAGGACCTGAAAAACTATATCAAGGTCACATAATAAATTTGTTGTTTATGAGGCACTGTACCGATGACCTAATACAGGAGCAGGGAATAAAAGTATATAGATAGACTCTAGACTATCTAGAGAGACATAGACTATAGGGAAACACTCATTACCAGATGTCTTTCTCAGTTTCTTCACCACTGACAGATATTAGTGAAATATTTAGAGTCATATCAGGGATTGAGAGTTGGTAACACTGTTTTTCGAACCTGTGTGTGTGTGTGTTTGTTGCGGGAATTGATTTTTTTTTAATTTTGCCGCATACAGCAGCTAGTTTATTGTGTACTTCATACTCATCCTGTGAGCGGTAGCACAAAAAGGATTACCGAGTAGAGGCCACAAAGGGTGTTTATCAGTCCTTAGTGGTCAGGATATTATAGCGTTTAGTGTTACAGAGTATTTCTAGTACATTGTTTGCTTAATTTGGCACGTGGAAGTTTGATTAGCAACTACAGTAGATGCGAAATGTGGATACAGCTTTAGTATATCAGCTATCTTGCCATCAGAAATTAAGTGCTGCGCTATTGCATACACAGTATACTTGGATCTGTCCCTAAAATTTTATTTTCTGTCAAAAGTCTTATGCCCGGAGTTTTAATCACCCCCTTCCGTTGACCACAGAGCAGTGTACTGGGACCGCTGTTGTTTGTGTTTCATAAATGACATGCCGGACGATTCTAAGTTATGCAAGGAAATTTGGAATCTGATGGATTGTGAATTGCTGCAGGAAGGTCTCTTGTCAGCTTCAGGAGTGGTCAAAGAAATGGCTGTTAAGATTTAACGTATTACATGTCCTAACGGGACGTGGAAGCATCATTAACTGAGACCAAATGTGAGAAGGTCCCAGCTATTACAGTAGGTCTTATAAGAAGGGCGTTCACACACCTAGACTGTCCGACCCTCAGAAAGCACCCCAAAAGTGAAGTGCTTCCCCGTTTGTAGTAGACTACGGATCCCTGAGATATGCTAGAGACTGTCAGTTCATTTAAAATTTCGAGAGGAGGGCCACCAGACAGGTGCCTGCACTACGGCAGTGACGGCACTTCAGCTATTAACAGAGATATGACCGACCGCCCAAGCGGCTTTACGAAACAAGTGACGAAGAGGATAAAGTAAAGTGTGATTTTTTCCCCTGGTGTAAGCGAGTGATGTTAATAATCCTGATATCTCTATTCTAAACAAATTTGAGAGACTGTCGAGAGTTACATTTGTAACTGTAATGTTGTTTACGATTCAAGAAAATGAGAAATGGTTAAAAACCTTGCCAAACAGAGATTACCAATTTTATTCCTCTTTAATGTGGAAACATCATAATTCTGATTATGTCTAATGTTCAACAAATATAAAATTCTTAGGTGATTTGTCCTTTTTACTTCTTTCCTTTCAATCAGAATTTGATTAATCTCATTTAATTGGATATATAATTATATAAAACTGATTTTCATTGTATAGAAAATGCTACACTTGCGTGATAAACGATTTGTTTATAACTAAGTAGACACAAATCGGACTAACAATAAAAGTATGGCAGACAAGTTATAAAACGGCAAATAACGAAGTCTTCACCATGGGAACCAATAAGGACGAGGGATAACTAACCTGTTGGAAGACGTTGTGGTGACCCACTGAGGATGGCCTCGGTCGACACAACTCTTTATCATCTTGCCTCTCACAGGATTTACACCCACGTAACATTAACTCCCCGTGATTTTTCATTGTCACATTTTACAAATTGACGACTTTTATTATTTATTTAATTTCAGGAAAAGTATTTAATATTTTACATTATTATGTAAAGCATATAAGTTAATGTTTTATTCACTACATAAATCGGAATTGGCACCGCATTACATAAATGTGTATTGTGTAAGGGGCGGTATTACCATCAGAGCGTGTATTTCCCAAGAAACCTTGAAGTCCACAAACACAGGAAGTGTTGTCATTAAAAACAATATATTTGAGGCACCGGGTTTTTCAAAACGCATCTGAGTATCTACCACTCACCTCACTACTTATATAAAAAAACTATATTAATATCTTAAATGAAAAAATTTAATTTCAGTTTAAGTACGTTGTTGTGTTTTTGTGGGTCCGGTGTCGGGACGATAATAGCACTGGGCTGGCAGTCCATTGGGTCCGGATTGAAATCCTTATTGAGAAAGCAACATGTTATTGATAGAAGTGAGCCAGTACCAGTCTTATCACCATGTTACTTACAGCTTGTCGTAAGACCTAACCGCATTCCTATTATCCTGACCACAGGGGGAAATATGTCTATTCTGTCTCAAAACTGTTGTGACAACCCGCACGGCGGTCACCCTAGAAATTTCAATGTGTATAAGACAAGCCTAGCATAAATATAATTTTTGTTGCCTCTCGTGTAACGAGGATTGCCGGATCAAGGGCCACCTAGGCGTGATTTTGTTTAAGGTGTAGAAGTTGTCGCCAACAACAACCACAACAAGTTGCATGACCCAGTGTCAAGGAATAGTCCGAGAAGACCGGACAGCTCGCCAACTGCACTGGCTAATGATTACCCCGATTAACAACCAGGTTCTCAATTATTGCTGGGTAGACAGAGGCAAATATAAGTTACATTGTCAGGACACAGTCTCATGTGTACCTCTCCTAGTACAGCACATCACTAAAATGGCTGAATCTTATTTTTCTTGCGAACATTAATGATGAAAGGTATAAGCATTAAAGGAATGATAATTACCCAAAAGGCCAAAACAATAAATATTGGCTCTGTCTACTTCAGGAGATACAGACCCATTTCTGATAAAAAATAACTAATTGGTGATTTAAAAGGAGTGTTACTTATTTTCTTCATTTTTTGTTTCCCTTCGGGTAGGAGTCTCACACCCATCTGTCCAGAGGTTTACCATTTTTAATCTTTAATTATTGATGACAAGAGTACTGTATTTACTAATCTAGAATACGCGTTTAAAGACTTTGCTGTTGAAGTCCAGAAAACCATTATCACATCATCAGCGGCTCCACAATACTGCTCTATGTAGTTCGCTCCTCTCCTGCTATTAACCACTATCCAAAGTCTAAATAAACCACAATCCTTCTCTCTTCCCGTGTCTTATTACGTGCTTATCAAAACTTTTCTGGGTAAATCCCTTAGCCTTCTGCCCTCCACGTAACAATTCAGTCCAAGCTCAAATATAATGCAAAAATCAATTATAAGTGCCCGCGCGTGCGTGATACAGTCCCTTTTAGACTATGTTTATTGTACTGCAGTGTGAGGGTGAAGGCCCATAGTCATAAGGTGGATTCCTCCAGCTAACACTTAGGAAACAACTCAGACGTCAGTCACGTGAGCCTGGAGTCAGATGTCACAGACCTAGGATGAGATAACACAGGTGTATTTCCTCCCCATTATCTGGATACCTGTAAACCAACTGGGGTTTCCCGTTAAGCTGGTGGGGACATGGTTATACATACAGTACATCTACTAGGGGCGTGTCCACGGGGAATGAGGCAGGGGGTCAACTTTCTATAAGTTGATCAGTTTCAGGTAAGGGGCAGATGTTCTCTCTAGCTCGAAAGAGAACACCCGACTCAAATCTATTTGATCGAGTCTTGTCTTTCAAAAGTTATCATGTTATTTAAAACATCGTACTCAAGGGGTTAAAATATCGTTCTTAAAGGGTTAATATCAATAAAAATCTTAAGTTTACTGCATTGGAGGGTTGGCATTCCATTGGTCTTGTGAGAGGGCTGTTGGTAAAGTCCTTTTGAAATGCGAAAATGAATATAACCAATCGGCAGAACCTCTCTTAATATTACTTTTCGTATTTTGAGAAATAATATATATATATTTTTTTTTTTCATATTTTATCAAAATTTTATATATTTTCATGGTGGAAATGCCCAAGATAAAAGCTAAATTTATCATGAATATTAGCTGCAAATACACAACTTTGTTATGAATCTTCAAATTACATAAACAAGTAAGAGATTAATTCTCAAAAAATTAATGATGATGTAAGTACTCCTTTTTGGCTAGTTCGTTTTTACATTTCAGAGTCGCAGTGGGTGTGTCTGTCTGTGTGACTCAGCCACTGAAGGCTGAGTGGTGGTAGTGGACTATTATAGTGCTGCGCACTGCACTCCCGGATATTGTTAAGGTTTGCTTGAGGAGAGTTATGTAAGGAAACACCTTCCTTTGTTTTCATAAATCCTTTGTTTGGCGGATCGTTTACACTAAAATAATATGTTTATGTTCATAATCCACGACAGGAATGTAAGAATAACGCATAAACTGTATTCTCCCCACAGAAGCAATACAGACAGTATATCACTGGGAGAATGATTTTTTTTTAACGGTGTTGCAGTGATAAATACAGTGAAGCTGATTATTTTTTATGCATAAATTATACTGTACATGGTTTGTTATTTGATTTTTTTTATAACTGCATTATAACATGTGTAAATTAAGGGGTATTGATATTGCTAACAGTTTATTGTGTTTATTACAATGTACACGTACCAATTTTAACGTTTTGTTTTTCTTTTAAAAAAATACAGCGAAATTACATTTCTCAAGTACGCTTTATAAATTTACTCTACAGTATATCTAGTTTTCATGGGTTTCACAAAATAATATTCAGTGAAATGTTAATAGAATTTTATTTACATCCGTTAAAAAAAGTACACTTATTTCCATTAAATATAACTAAGCTTATTGCATGTTCAATAATGGTACATACATATAGTGGAATTATTTATATAATTCATATATGCAGTGTTATGCGCTAACATATGCCAGTATATATCATTTGTATAGACTATTATCATATGTATACAGTATGTTTGTATGCATGCTTTCCCACCTGTTACTTCGGGACATTTAGTAAGTCATAAATTCATAATATACTATACTGTCTCCTGACCTTTTGAGAATTTCCCCAGTGAAAAATGTGGAAAAAATGCCCTGATATATAATGGCACAAATTAGTCTAACAATACAATCGTCACTACCCTCTCTACGTTGCTGAATCGATCGAGTCAAAGTTTCGAAGGTTTACTAATGACATCTAAAGTTTCGACTGGCGGGTGGCGGTTCGAACAGGTGAGATTAACCAGTCAACAGGTAATGTATCCGAGGTCACTGGGTCTTGCGCTGGGCCCCCCACCCACACGCGCGGGGCCCCGGGCGGTCGCCCTGTGCCCCCCCAAAGGACGGGCCTGACTAAGGAGACCTGGGGAAGGAGGGGTTGCATGTCCGTCAACCCACACATTGGAATCGTGGGGCGGAGGAACAACCTGCCGGTACTACTACTTTTTAAGTTTAACAAATTTATTGACAAAGCTTGGAGTACAGTTTGCCTATTCTGAGTAATTCAGTCAGGTCTTGACACTGAGGGTGGTATCACTTCTCACTGCCTGCTACTGATTAATAACAACAACTACAATAATAATAATAATAATAATAATAATAATAATAATAATAATAATAATAATAATAATAATAATAATAAAAACAGTTTTTATGCAAAAGATAAACTCACCTTTATAACATAAGAGGTAAAGAAACAAACTATGGTGGTGTGTGTCTTATGTCAATGTTTTTTCTTTTTTGTGGAGTGTGTGTATTCCCTGGGTGAAGGGAGGGAAAGGGAGAGGGGGGTACAGAATGCAGGACAAAGAAAGGGGGTGAGAAAAAAACAGGAAACAACACGATCACCACACACCACCAGCATTTGTTTCACCATCAGAGTACTTCCCCAGAAGCTTGTTATTTTCCAAGATAAATATATATCCAGGTGCATCCGTTTCTTTTATATCACGTGTCTTTCATTACCCATTATATCCCGAGGTTGTTACCAAGACAGGGAGCTATGTAGCCTTATAGAGGTGTAATGGCTTAATCCAATGGGTAAACTCAAAATTAGATGTGCAGTTTTAGATACGGCCACATAGAAGACACTATTTGGATGAATGGATGAGTGACATTTTAGGTATGACAGATAGTTGATGGGATGAGTGGATAGATATTCAGTTAAGTCTTCATACAAGTTTTCACGTATTCAATATGTATAATAGTCAAACATAGAGGATAAGAGCAGGGGAGTGAGGTGAGACATAGATTTGGTGTTGATAACGATTGAGGAAGAATGATGCATAGAACAGGGTCAAGCAAGAGGCTAAATAGACATATAAAAGACTATTGAAGTGAACATCAAGCAGAAAAGAGAAAAAATTGCAGTCATCATATACAGTATATAGTATTATATTCCATAACAAAGATACCCGAAAGGAAGAAAAACTGGAGAGTATGGACGGTTAGTTAGAGTAGGAAATGAAATGCCGTATATGGTACAGAGTGCGATAAGACCTTTAGGAGTAAAACAAAATATAGAAACACTAATTGATTGTTTGGTATGAAATGGCCTGGAGATCAAGATTTTTTTTTCCAGACATAGAGGGGAATTCAAGTACGTATATACAAGATAAACATGGAGTAGCATTATAGGTTAACTTCATAAAAAAAAAATATTAATTGTATAGCATAAGAGAACTGTCCCTTTTCTCGGAGCTATTCTAGCTATTCAGTGGCGTGGTAGGGAGGGAGACAAGAAGGACCAGCGCCCTAAGAGTAGTTTAGTTTAACAAATTTATTGACAAAACTTGGGGTACAGTTTGCCTATTCTGAGGAATTCAATCAGGTCTTGACACTGAGGGTGGTATCACTTCTCACTGCCACGCAGGATAGAGGTTCATTCACAAAGAAATACATCATATTCCTGAACAGTATACTGTATATAGGTCAGATTACATAAGAACATAAGAAAAAAGGAGTCTGCAATAGGCCGGTTGGCCTGTGCATGGCAGCTCCTGTCGAGAGTTACTACCACTCTCTATCATCCATGAATCTATCTAGCCTTTTAAAACTTTCCAGCGTTCCAGCACTTACTATAAAGTTGCTAAGCTTGTTCCACTCGTCCACCACCCAATTTGTGAACCAGTTCCTTCCTATCTCCCTCCCAAACCTAAACTCATCCAACTTAAATCCGTTGCTGCTAGTCCTATCCTGCTCGGATATTATTTGAACTTTGTCTATATCCCCTTTATTGATTCCTTTCACCCACTTAAATACTTTTATCATATCTCCCCGCACTCTTCGTCTTTCTAGGGAATGCAAGTTTAGTTTCTTTAACCTATCTTGATATGGAAGGTTTCTAAGTCCCGGAATAATTTTCGTCATTCTTCGCTGCACCGATTCCAGTGAATTGATATCCATTCTATAATAAGGGCACCAGAACTGAACCGCATAATCGAGGTGCGGCCTGACTAGCGCAAAATATAGTTGCAATAAGACCTCTGCACTCTTATTACTTACACTTCTAGATATAAAACCTAATATTCTGTTTGCCTTATTTCGAACATTAACGCACTGTTTTCTAGGCCGTAGGTCCGGGCTTAAAAGTACCCCTAAGTCTCTTTCACAAGTCGACTTCTCTAGGTTGATGTTGTTAAGGCTGTATACATTGACAGTATTTGTTCTTCCAATATTAAGTACTCTGCACTTGCTGGTGTTGAATTTCATTTGCCATTTTTCTGACCACTCCTGCAGTTTATTTAAATCCTCCTGCAGTGCATTTGCATCCTGCCCTGAATTAATCTGCCGCCCTATTTTGGTGTCATCCGCAGACTTGCTTATGTTACTACTGATCCCAGTATCTAGATCGTTTATGTAGATTATGAACAAGAGTGGGTCTAGTACTGACCCCTGGGGAACCCCACTGGTAACACGACCCCACTCAGATTTAACACCATCTACGCTGACCCTCTGCGTTCTATCGGTGAGCCATGATTTTATCCAATTTAAAACGCTCACCTCGATACCACGAGCCTTAACTTTTCTAAGAAGCCTCTGATGCGGTACTCTGTCAAATGCTTTGCTAAGTCTAAGTAAGTAACATCGTAATTTTCGTCATTATCTACTACCTCGAAGACTTTCCTAAAAAAAGTCAGCAGATTTGTTAGACAAGATTTTCCCTTTGTAAACCCGTGTTGAGGTTCGTACACAGAGAAATACATCATATTCATTAGCAGTATATATAGGTCAGAGTCATGTGGGTGATGTCACTGCTCACTGCCAGGCAGGACAGTGGTTCATATACATTGGACGTCATATTCTAATTGAAGTTTAATCAGTGTGGGCTAGCAAATTTGGCATAAACAGCAAGAATGTCCTCAAGCACACCCGATTCAATGTAGTAATTACAAAGTTCATGATACAATAAGCCAGGTGGCCTGAAGTCTTTGACAGCGTCACATTCAATAAAATAGTGTTCAAATGCATGCTTTAAAGGTTTATCACAAAGTTTACATGCTGAGTGTTCAGGTATGGGTACAGCGTTACTAACTTGCCATATGTGTCTGTATCCTAGCCTAATTCTGGGGTAGAAAAAGTTTGGACAATTCAGTCTTAAGGCATGTCTAACGTGATTAGGCGAGCAAGGTCACGTGATATCTTGGTGCCATCTTCTCATCTTTGCTCAGTCACCGAATAACCAACCATACATGGCCTGGGAAACACTATGTTTTAAATGTCATGTTTTTGTAGCATCCGTCTGTGTTAGGCCGTGATATGGTTTGCTGTGTAGCCAGGGTTGTTCCAACTGTTCAGGAATGAGGAAGATCATGTACAGAAACCCGACTCAAATAAAAAAAAGAAGGAAATCAAAGTCCGCCTTCACTGTCTATAATCACTCCTGGACATGTGTATACCTACAATGTTTATTATACACCCAAATTTACCAGGAGACTAGACAGGTCATTTCTAAACCCACCTCCTCCATTGTGACCTCACTCCGCCTAGACCAGTGGTTCTCAACCTTTTTCACTCCATTTCCCCCTTGAAGAATTTTCAACATCCTCGTGGCTTCCACTGTTTTCGTGATGGTATCCCAGGCCAGACTGAGATTATTCGGTCCTATCACCACTTGCAAAGGGATGACACACGGACATGTACTGAACAAGTCAGTTCAGCAGCTCGGTCCAGTGCCTGTCACACAGACAGGGACTGGACCTGTGAAATCTTAAATAATCCGTAAAAAAAAAAAAAAAAGTTAGCACCAGAGTATGTAAATATTAAAATTGTATTGTCGTTATGATTAAACACAATGACAAAAAAGAATGAAAATTTTCTTCTGCCAAGTCAAAATAAGTAATACAAGTTTTGTTTAATTCAGATTCCCAACATTATTTGGAAACGTACAATTTATAACAGCTCTCCGTGGCTTCCCTAAATTCTTGCCGTGGCTCCCTTGGGGGCCATGGCCCCCAGGTTGAGAACCACTGTCCTAGACTTAGGTGATATTGGCCGTGGTATTGTAAGTTGTAGGTATAATTTCCTTTTGTTCCCCAGTTTGTAGCAGTCTCTGTGTTGAGAAGGGTGAGTGAGTGATTCACGGAAAAATGTGAGTGTGGTTATATATATATATATATATATATATATATATATATATATATATATATATATATATATATATATATATATATATATATATATATATATATATATATATATATATATATATATATATATATATATATATATATGTATATATATATATACATATATATATATATATATATATATACATATATATGTATATATATATATATGTATATATATATATATATATATATATATATATATATATATATATATATATATATATATATATATATACATATATATATATATATATGTATATATATATATATATATATATATATATATATACATATATATATATATATATATATATATATATATATATATATATATATATATATATATATATATATATATATATATATATATATATAATTCACATATTTCGGTAAGAAATCGGTAGTCTTTGTTATGATTGTTTGTTTACATTCAGATCTGTATGATAGAATGTCATGTATATTTTTTCCCCAATTAAAACAACGCATTGGCAAGAGAAAAGTACGAATGGATCTATCTATTTATTAAAAAACCCTAAATATATCGGATTTTTTTATTGTTTAGTAAATAGTTGATTTGGTTACCTTGACTAAAGGTATTTGTGGCAGAATTGAATTTTATAGCCATTCGAAGATAGAAAATATTGGCAATAAAATTAAATAAAAAATAAATCTTAAATTTATGTAAATTATTATGAAATAAATTAGGGTGTTTTCTGTTAGATTTGATAATGCAAACTGCCATTTACAATTTGTCGGTCTAAAAGGAGGGGGGGGGGGTTCATAGGCCATCCTGGGGAAAAAATCTTGACAGCATGGCATGTGGAGTGTAGCGGACCTGAGGGAAGACCTAAACACGACAAGTTACCATCATGTGGCCTGAAGTACAACAAGCTCTGGACGAGAAGCGTTATGAACTGGTGCTCAGTGGGGACGACATAAACAAGAAAATAGAAGATGAAGGATTAGATCCAGGCTTATATGAATTGTCACATCTCAATTTCCTTAGGGTGTCCAAGTCACCTCTTGTGACAATCTCTGAAGACATTGGCAAACTCCGTAACTTGACCAACCTGATCCTCCCAGGCAACAAGATTCAAACTCTACCTGAAACAATTGGGAATCTTGAAAAAATGAAACTCCTGGATATATCGATAAACTGTCTTCAGAGTTTGCCAAATGGTATTGGTAACTTAATCAGTCTAACAACTCTGAATGCTAACAATAATGAATTACTTGCTTTGCCAAATTTAGAAAAGTGTATCAATCTTGCAATTCTGGATGTAAGTGGAAATAAATTATCAGATTTTCCTGATATTTGTCATGAAAGTCTCGCGCACTTGGCAGATGTTAAGCTTACCAGTAATCAGATAAATGAAATCCCTACAAATGTGTCAACACTTCCGTCACTGAAGACACTTGATTTGGGGAGTAATGTTATTAAGGTTGTTCCGGGAGAACTCATTGATTGTGTCAAACTGAAAGGTAAGGATGCTTGTAACAAACAACTTATAGGCAGTTCATATTTGTTATGTAGTGGATATTTTGCTGAGACCGGCTAAGATCCTAATAACGCTATTTTACCGTGAGTGCACTTTGATTGGTTAAGTACTTTCTGTTTAATACATTGGGGGGTGTGTCCCCCAGCTTGGAAGTTAGGAAGGCTACTTTGTTTGGTTAGGTTAGGTTGGTTTCGGTTCTTGTAAATGTCGCCTCTCTTATAATGACAAGTTTCCATGCACAACATAAATATGGTTAGGTATGTTTATAGCTACACAACGATCAACTCATGATGAAATAAATCCCAAATGCTGCCAGAGCGGTCCAACGAATTACCCAAATGTACCCAAAAGTATATTAAATCAGGGTAAAATCTTAACGAATATATGTTTTACATCAATAAAACCTGATTAATAATGTTTTCATTGAAATGTAGTCAAAATAATGAAATAATAAACAGCAAAAAATGCTGAATTCCAAAGAGTCACCTATCCAAATTGGAGATATAATTACCGATGTTTCTGTTACTTGGGGTATTTAACATAGCCGTAGGATTTACTTTTCGTTAGGTTAGGTTAGCGAAGTGCATCACGATGGATCTGAGTTATCTCCCTTGTTCACAAACTCTTTGGAATTTAGCGTTTGCCGATACTGAAAGTTTTTCGCTGTTTATTATTTCATCTTAAAAATTATTTTTACAAAATTACACTAAAAATATTATTAAACATGTTTTGTGTATGTATAACAGATATTCGTTAAGATTTTACCCATATTTGCTATACTTTTGGCTACTTTCGGGTACATTTGGGTACTTTTGGGTAATTCGTGGCTCCCCCCGTCAGTAATCATTGACGACTGACCCGTGGCCGATTTTTCTTGGAAAACGATTATAAAAATGCCGCAATTTCACTGTGTTTTATAGTGGACACTATTGTAGTTTGTGCAAATGTGTTAAAAAAGTGGTTATCTCTAAATTAAACCTAACTTTAGTTGATATGAAAAACAAGCAGCAGAAGCATTGTTAGAAGACCTCACCAACCTAACCAAACAAACCTACCTAACCTTACCTAATTTCCTAGCCGGGGACTCTGTCCCACGGACCCTCTGGTATATTAAACAGTAGGAACTTTCTACGATATACTGTAGTGTGATTTTAATTTTTTTGTGGACACGAGAGCAGCCATCCATACTGAATGGTTCTTGAGCATACACTGATCATCAGCATTAATCAATCCTGGACAGTGGAGTGTTTTAATGTATGACAATATGATTGGCTGTTTACATCCTGCGATGAGATGTCACCGCCAAGAAGATAAAGTAGTGGGCACCTGAGACCTCATTATCTACCAAACGAAGCATTTGCACAAGAAATGATTCTCATATCAGAACTCACTGATGAAAATGAAGTAAGAAAATAAACAATAAAACAAATAACTCATCCGTGTCGTCAGTCATCAATAATAATCTAACAGTCAAATATAGTTCTCGCGTTTGCCATTAATAGATGATTAGCCAATCGGAGCGCACTTGCAATAAAATAGCAATGGTAGGAACTTAGCCGGTCACGGCAAAATATCCATTGCCTATTTGTTATGTCACGAACTTTTACTCACTTTCACTGTTTATCCGGCATTAGTTCTGATTAGACGAGGCTGATGACGCTGATTTGGGATTACTGAACTCGGTCACTCAAAACTTGTGTACTGTTACCTTAACCCAACCTAACCTAACTACGTATTTGCAACTGACCAAATTCAGTAATCTAGATCATCAGCCTCAGTCAATCAGAATGACTGCATGACCTAGCTTAAGTAATTAAATGTCTGAACATATTAATAGCCACTTTAACCCTTTAAGGGCAGGGGTTTCTCTCTGGTGAATATAATATCTGTCATTATCCAGAATAAAATACCTAAGTGTGGAGCTGCCCTCTAATGGATTAAAATTACAGTACAGGTATTCCCTTAAAGCTCTCTGGGGTTAGGTAAAATGGACCCCGTGAGAATGCAAAATCCGCGAGTTTTCATACCAGTTCCAGGAGTGTGCAAAATACATATATAAATAGCTATATGCACATGTATAATAACATTATGTATGCATAAGACAATATAATAAATATGAAATAACAGAATTAAACAAACACGAAATAACACTATATGGACATTAGGGCCACACAGTGATAGTGAGCTGTGGTAGTGAGAAACATGATACCATATAGCCAGTGATTTGGCTTTGCCAGTACAATAAGCTCTTAAATCTGAAGAAAAAAAAATTCTGCTTAAAATATACCTTGATAATTATAGGGTGCATCTTATGACCTGGGAAATTGTTCTCTCTGTACTGTGCTGAAGTGTTGACTCCTCTTGATCCCTGGCACATAGCCTCAGATATATTTTGTTGATTTACCATGGCAATCCATTAGTTTCCAAGGCACGCAAGCTTTAAAACGGCGAGCTTTAAGGAAATACTGTATGTCTTGGTAAAATTATTGTTTTGGTCATCCAGCGAATTTTAGGAGTTTAACTTTTGGACTCCGCAGTTTAGACAATTCTAAGACACTTTTCTTCCATAGCGTTTCCGTCTGAGGTTTATATTTTTCGATTATTTTAAGCGATAAAATTACACATGATATTACTTATTCAAAGTGGGCAGGGCTTTGAAGTGGAGGGAAAGTGTGGGGTAAAATACTAAACAAACTTTTAAAAACCTGACCTAATGTTTCCTAACCTTTAAAAATCCACAAACTATAAAAAAAATTACTTTATTCGTGTTTTTGGTGTTTGGTTGGTGATGTTGTTTTCGGTTTTTAGAATGTGTTGTTTTCGGTGTTCAGATGAGGGATCCATAAGCTCAAAAGTTAGGTAAGGTTTTCAAAAGTTTGTTTAGTATTTTACCCCACCTTTTCTCACGACTTCAAAGCCCTGCCCACTTTGAATAAGTAATATTATGGGTAATTTTATCACTTAAAATACTAAAAAAAAAAATATTTCCGATGGAAATGCTATAAAAGAAAAGTTTTAGAATTGCATAAACTACTGATTCCAAAACTTAAAATCCTAAAATTTGCTGAATGACCGAAACAATAATACCTGTAATACCAAAGTATTTACTTTTGTACTGTTTGACAAGAAGAAACTGAATTATTTGGCTCGATTAGATTTTGTTGGTATTTGTCATATGTAATTATAAATGATGTAGTACAGTCAGTTCTCCTATAATGCAGTACAGTAGTTGTGTTCCTGAAAAACACTGCATTATAGAAAAATCGTATTGTAGTAACCATTGATTGAGTGGGAATTAAGGGATTAGGGGTAGTAGTTTCATACCACTTTATTATGTCAAATATTTGTTCAAGGGTAATATCTTTTCTTCATTTTACTTCACTTCCACTACAATCACTCCCAGAATGCTTCACACCCTTACCACACATTGTAATTAAAAAGAATAAAGTTGATACAGTACTTATACTGTCCAGTAATAAGATAAAGCACAGTCTGATGTGTATGAAAGATAAACAGACTGTTAGGGTGGCACACTGCCAAAGCGACTGCATATCTGCGTACTTTTATGTGAGAACCATAGCTCCTTTTACAGCATAGTACAGTACAGTAATACAATATTAACACATGTTAAAATATATTTGTATACCGCAGTTTTAGTTTGTGGTAAAGAATTGTTACTTCTTCATTATCTCTTAGTACCAGTGATTGATGATTATTACCCTTCTTCACTGCAAAGGGCTTGTGCTTCTCTTATTACTTCAGAAAAAAAGTATTGTATTTTAAATAACTTCTCTTGATCATTGACAGATTTAAACTTGAAGGGGAATCCTCTAAATGATCGTCGCTTCAGAAAGCTGGTTGAATCAGATCGCTGCCTTCCACGTCAGGTGATTGACTACATCCGGCAGCATTGTCCAAGATCTGAAAATAGCAAAGGTGGAGCTCCTGGCAAGGGCAAGAAAGGAAAGGGAGGCAAAGGAAAGGCTAAAGATGAAGACGAGGTACCTATTATTGCAGTATTTAATCTGTTATAATATTCCAATGCTTTTCCATTTCCATAATTTTCATTCTTTAATTTTTAGTTATTATGCTTACAGTGAAATTTTCAAACTTGTACATTATCACATTTCCATAACTCATTTGGATTTTCATCAGTTGTACTTAGTTATTTGGGTGCACTGATTATTACCTTACTACAGTACAGTACTGTATTTGATAATTCAGTATTAATTTTCAAATATTGCACTGCATAATACAGTTACATTGCTTAGGCGGATACAGAGGGAGTGTGTAAACCCACTTCTTGTCTTATATATATATATATATATATATATATATATATATATATATATATATATATATATATATATATATATATATATATATATATATATATATATATATATATATATATATATATATATATATATATATATATATATATATATATATATATGGCCTGGGCATAGGTCATCAACCCACAACAGGGCCTGAGGGGCAAAAAAGTAAGGGTAAAAAAAAATAAAAAAAAATTGAGGAGAAAAAGGCTAGTATGTTAATTTACACCGCGAAAATGACGGAAAACCATCTTTTTGAAGTGGTCAGATTGTAAGAGGATGTAAACACAAGAAGGCAAAGCATTCCACAGTTTGGCTGTGTGAAAAAAGAAGGATGTACTGTAATGGGTTATTCTAGTGTGACCGACATCCACATAGAAACGGTGGGCACTGCAGACAGGGTGAGTGTTACGAGCCCACAGCCTTGTCAGTAGTTCACAGGATGCCAAAACCACCAGACATTGTCTGTTAAAGTACCTGTAAAAGAGAGTGAAGCAACATTGTGGTGAAGAGAAAGGGAAGTCCTTCCTTGCCAGCCATAGTTAATCATTGTTGCATACAAAAAATATCTGTTGTGGGAATACCCTGGAAACCACATTTTTTTTTTTTTTTTTCACGGGAATTAGCCCACCCGGACACAGGTCAAACGACCCACAACGGAGCCTGGGGGGCGAAAAAAAAAAGAACTGAAAGAAATTGTAAATATAGAAAAAAAGGTTATACTGTACTGTATTAATCTACACCATGAAGATGCCGGAAAACCAGCTTTTTAAAGTGAGACAGATTGTAAGAGCGTGGAAACACAGAAGAAGGCAGAGCATTCCACAGTTTGGCTGTGTGAGGAAAGAAGGAGGTACTATAACGGGTTATTCTCGTGTGACCGACATCCACAGAGAAATGGTGGGCACCGCGGGCAAGACTGTGTTACGAACCCACGGCCTTGCCGGCGGTACACAGGATGCCAAATCCACTGAACATTGCCCGTTAAAGTACCTGTAAAAGAGAGAGAGTGAAGCAACATTGTGGCGAAGAGAAAGGGAAGAGAGATTGTCGGCTAAGGGAGGAGAGTTAATAAGACGAAATGCCTTTGATTCCACCCTATCTAACAGTTGGACAGAAGAAGAGCCACCCCAGATATGAGAGCAGTACTCCAAGTTAGGACGAATGAATCCCTTATATACTTGGAGCAACTGCTCAGGAGTGAAGTAGCTGCGGCATCTGTACAGCATTCCCAACTTTCGGGAGGCAGCTTTAATTATACTAAGGATGTCTGATTTCCAGGACATATTGGAGGAAATGGTGAGGCCTAACATATTTATTTCAGAATTTCGGAGGATGATAGCCCACCCCCTCACTGTAGTTCAGATTAGTTAAGTTAATTAATATTTAGATATGTTATTGGAGACATTAGATATGGGGCGCGTATGACCAGAGTGGACAAAGTGCCCCCCCCCCCCCATAAAAAGGAGACCTCTGGTTCTTTCTCTCTCTCTCTCTCTCTCTGTGATCTGCCACCTGCCACCCTCACTGCCAGCTCGTAGTGACGCTTGGGTAGTTTTACTTAATAAGAAAATCGACCATATTGCCACTTCCATTCTTAGTAACCGAGTTTCTCTCGGGATACAGAGGTGATTTTCTTATCCTTTTGTGAATAAATCTCGATTTTGACCGTATTGGTGCTTTGTCCACTCTGGTTGTACAAACCTAAAATAGCATATACAGTAGAGTTCATAAAAGTCATTTACTGTATATCAATCAATAGCATCTGAATCAATCTATCAAAATTTCAGCATCATGTCCAAGGGTTGGCAACCATGGTTTCGAGCTGTTTTTATCAATCCTCACAGAATTTGAAAACTCAGTTCTTAATTTTGTTCATCCATCCCAGTCTCTACTTTCCCCAGGCCTCCCTACCTCAATTTTTCCATTAATAGTTTTACTATTATCCTCATATCCTTAATTATATGGCCAAATTATCTAATTTTTCATATTTTTTTTTTTTTCAATCTTATTATTTCATTTGTTTTCCTATCGATGTAACTCATTTATAGAATTTTTCTGTATTACTACAGTATATATTCAAAGGCCTCTAACAGCCTAATGGTGTCTGAATTCAGTATTTTTAAAATGTAATTAGGAGAAATAATATACAGTCATCCCTTGGTTATCACGCCCAATTGGGACCGCGCTGAGTGCATGATAACGAAAGTACAGAACCTATGGGATTTATTCTAAATTTTTCCAGGCACCCAAGACCCAACCCCAACATTCCCATTTTACGACCATTTAGACCCACTAAAGATATAGATAATGTTATGGTAAATATCAGAAACACACATAGGCATGGCTAGGTTTATTACAAAGTGATGAAAAGGGTACGCTCAATACTGTAGTCCACAAAACATGTAGCTATGCTTTCTTTATTTGAGTTCCTCATCATAGGAGTCCCTTTTCTCATCGCTTCAGGACACCTGAGTCCTCCGTTTTCTCTCAATCTTAGAGTGCACCCGAGACTTCGTTATTCCTTAGTAATGACACAGAATTTGAAATTGCAACTGGGATTGCAATTGTTGAGGCAACTTAGATATGTCTGGTTATAGTTGGAACATTCAAGATCCATTGTGAGTGATGTTGAAAGCTTCAACAGTCTTTATGGTTGGTAAAACTTGTCAAGTAAGTAAGTGTCAGATCTGTCAGTATGAGTGGCATGTGTGAGTGCTTGTGTTTGTACAACCGCTTTCATGTTTTGTACATCCATCCATTTTCATCCATCAAATGTGTTTTTGTCAATTTGTAGGTGAAAGATTTTATCCTCAATAGATGTAGGTGAAGCAAGGGGGTAACATTACACCTGGAGGCAAATGCGTGATAACCAAATTCTCGGCCTGAAAAATGCGCTATAACGGCAGGTGTGCAGATTTTGATGGAGGCTTGATAACAAAAATCGCGATAACCAAGTGCGCTATAACCAAGGGATGACTGTACTCTATTGTATTCTCTAACCAAATAAGATGAGTACAGGGTATATTTTGCAAATATATATTTGAGTTTCTTTTCCTCAGGTAGACATTTTGTGTAATGAACTACGTGTTCTAAGTGTGAAAGATACAGTTCCAGTAGTACAAGTTACTACAGCTGCTAAGGATGTACGCCCGTACATAGTTTGCTGTGTACTTCAGGGAGTTGACTTAAGTGGTGATAATCTGAAGAAGTTTATTTCTACTCAGGTAAGCTAAGAAGATTTTTTGTCTGTATTTTATAGATATTTATTTTATGCCATTATATCATGGTAGCTTATTTGAGAAGTTTCCATACAAAAAAAGCATCTCCATATCAGTAAATGTCATGAATAAACAGGAGTGCTTTAGTGATTCAATGTGAATTATGCAGCTTCCTCTGACCATCCCATCCCATAGGATAGGTGATTAGCACAAATGCACACAATATTCCAAAATGCTTTCCTGAAGAATTGTGGCATTAGTTAGTCATCATTTGTAAATTATTTTTAATTGTAAAATGAAGGGATGCATTCCAGCCCCCTTCATCAGACCTCTATTGGCCCACATTTGTAGAGCCATGAATAAAAATTCGCTCCCTCTCTGGACCTCTCAAACTGACGCAGTATCAATCCCAAATGAGATAAAACGGCACACCCAGCCTAGATGATACTGTATTCAGGGAAAGTCACTTTTGAGACTTTCCTGTGACCCAATCTTACCACTGGGAGCAAATTTTTGGTTCATGTAAATACAATTAGTAGTTGATTAACTGCCATTTGGTGCATTACCCAGTGCAGTACATACTAGATTTTTTTTGTACATTGCACAAGCAAATTTGTTAATTGTAAAGAACTATTGGTGATACTGTACTCATAATACATCAAATGACACAAGAAGTGGATGATAAGTCTAGTGGAGATGATATTCTCAGTAAATGATATTTCTGCAATTGATGTTTAGCTTAAAATTTTTTCTCTGTCAGTTAACTAACAGCTATACAGTACATTACTTGCATATAAACACTGTGTAAAAAAGAAATTGGCAGGCAGGGAGGGTGGCATGTCACATACTGTAGGGGTGACAGTTAAAAGTCTGCAATTTTCTTTTCACACCAGAAATTTATTTTTTTTACTTTAATTAAGAGGTGGAGGTAGCGTACACTAACAATGTACTGCAAATAATTCAATACGGTGATCTCCCTATTAGTCAGGTCAATTGGTGCAGAGCATTTCCAGGTTTGAAAGATTTCCTGTATTGAGATGAATTCTCTTATCCCTGGAGTAAATCGCACAGTCCCAGAATTTTTTCAGACATTAGCAAATATTTTCGCATCTGGCATGGAGCACTGTTGCTACGGAGGCTTAACTCTTGATTTTTCATACTGTATGGTACATAAAACAGAACCTGGGACAAAAAAAATTTCTTCAGAAACTGGATCTTCAAAAATTGGAGACTGCTTGTTTCATTTATTATGTGTAGTATTGGCTCATAATCATTTTACAGTACGTATACATCAAAAACTTTAATTAAGATTAGGTTCTAAGATGGAAAAGCTTTTTTATTTTCCCTCGTTTTCTTAGAAACATACAGTATATCAGCTTCTATAATGGGATTTTCTGGGGAAATGTGTTCCTATTTACAAAAAAATAAATTTACAAAAAGGTTTTAGGAATGGAACCTTTTTATAAATTGGTGTCTCTCTTTAGTTTTGGTAAATCTGAATTTTTACTTTCACTTAAGCAAATTTTTTCCCTTGGAAATGTATACTTTAAGTTTATTAATATTTTTTAATATTTTCTCCATCACTGTAAATTTTTTCTCTTACGAAGTGATCCCAGGGCATTCTACCATCTTATAAATTTTTTTTTTCATGGTGGTAAAATTAGACAAAACTCCATGAGGGTGTATGTGAGAAGAGGTTGGCAGCTACAATTGCAACACATGACCTGGCCAAGATAAAAGGCCCTCTGAAGTTCATCGCTGGAGCTCCTGAAGAGATTCGCATTCATCCTCTGGTGAGGGGCAAGGAAATGTCTGCCAGAGAGTTACATGTGGGACTGCAGCAAGAGGCAGAAGCACAGAGAAAACACCAAAAGAGGAACAATATTACAGGACTACACAAGTATGCATATTGTGCATGTTTTATTGAATTTGATGATACAGTACAGTACTGTATAGTTTTACATTGAAAAACAGATTAAATATTATGTAATATTACTCTAAATGTAATAAGCCTTATAACCTGATTATTTTCTTAACAACACAAAAAAGACAATCTTGCCATGAAAGCAGCAGTTGAGTGTAGGTATTGAGGCATAGCTCACTGGTAATATGTAAGAATGTGGGACTCAGACTGAGGCATGTGCCACGTGACACCCACGCATGTACGAACACACAAACTGTCCGGACTGATGCATGATTTTCTGGTCCTTTTTAAATATTTTTGGTAAATTGAGGGGCGGTTTGGAATACTTTGGAAGTCTGAAAAGGGCGAATTCCGGTATTGTATATTGAAGACTAATTTAACGAGGTTTTACTGTATACAGGGTATTTGCTTTTCTTTGTATGTGTATGCTCATGCACTCATACTTTTGCTGAAAGTACTATCCAACTACTGTATTTTAAGTTCTAACAGTCATTAGATCTTTTGTCCATGCACCTATTCAGCTTCATTTTTTCAAACATGCTGCTGCACATTGGTTGATTTTTACTTATTTAGTGATGCAAGAACTATTAAAAAAACTCTATTCCTTTGATAAAAAAAAGGTGTCGGGGAGGCTACATTTGAAGCCTAGGAGTCTTAACCATTACACTAACCCATGTAGTAGTCGACCTTTGTATGACTTGGCTATAAACTGCTGTTTTGTAGATCTCAGTGCAGGCCATAAGTGGAGTGTATAGTTCGTGAACTGGCAAAAGAGAAAATGAACCAGGCATTTCTAAATTGTTCTCTTACCTTATCCAGCTGAGAATTTAGCCTCTGCTCGTTGTAGACAACTTGCAACTTGTGGTGATTACATTGACCACAAATCACAATTCTCTGTCAATGGAATCTAAGTCACTAATACTGGCCCCTGCACAGTAATGCTGTGTGTGCAGGGAATTTTCACATATACAGTAGGTACAGTGCTGGTAGTTTCCTGTGCATGGTAAATTCATGTTTTCTGCGTCATCCAAGTTATGATGTATTGTACAGTCAGATCATAAAGTACAATAAACTTAACCGTTTTAGGAATACTGTATTCGTTATGACAAAGTGTCAGGAATAGCTCCGCTTATTCCCATAAAAGGAAAGCAGGGCTACCAATGTGAATCCAGATGAGAGAACTTTGCACAAAAATTTTCACCAGTGTGTCATATTGTTTGACACTGAAGGGGTAAAAGTAATTTATGGTCTGACTTTACCACTCTAGACCAGTTTAGACCATCATTTCCATGCTGCTCACTTTGCTGTTTTGCAGATGCTGGGACTGTGGAAAAAATTAAATGAGAAAGTACAGTAATAGATTTAATGAGGACCAATTTATACGTTCCTTTCAGCTCTTTTAATCACATCTATAATTGGAATGTGTTTCTTCCATGTGTGAGCAGTGACCATTTTTATATTTCATCTCCCCACCAGCACCACCATTAATAATTTTGCTACAGTACTTAACCCACATTTTACACTACGTAGAATTTATGCCTTTCAGTTTCTACTTTTATGATAAATATGTAAAACTGCGGGGCACTATAATAACATTACTGCACAAAGAGAGGAAAATTCTACAAGGTCATGCAGGAGTGATGTAAATATATTCTGTATAATACGGGCTAACATAAAACTGACTACCCAAAGTTCTCACAGGCCCATAACATGGTCTACCAGCTCTGCCAAAGATAAGAGTTTTGGGTAATTTTTACACTACAGTATTACTGTACTCTGGAATATTGTGTATATGGTCCAGAAGCTCAGAATCCTTATTATTATGGGATATTTCAGATTTTTTTCTTTGTTGAATAATGGGAATGGGGCTGAAATTTAAGGTGTAAATCACCATCCAAATTTTCCCATAAATTATTGTATAATCCTTGATTATCACTTGGTTAATATCTATGCCAGGTTCCAGGAGCATAGCTCCCCCACAGAAGTTGATTGTTCACTCATATTTAGTATAAATGTATTAGGCATTATAATTTTGTTGTAGTTTACTTACTAGTTGTGTACTAATTGTCTTGCAGATTTCTTCATCTAGTGGACCGGTGGAGTCTTTGGCCATGTCTTGTAGATGCTGATGGAACAGTAATATCACTCCCACCACTCACCAATGCAGAAAACACCAAAGTATGAGAAAAATATCACAAGTTCTTACTTTTGTTATAAATATATGAGGATACTGTATTGATAAAAGTACTGTACAGTATCTCAAAAAAGTGTGTCCACTCTGTGTGAAACATCATCAGACCGCGGATGATAGATACAGTACTGGGATATGCACGTTCCTCCCTTGTATAATTTAACATAAATAATACAATGTGTATTTATTTCGGCGTAATTAATATGATGTTCGGTTATCAAATGTAGTAGAATCATTATGCCACAGACCCACGCATACCAACCCTCCTGGGACATCACTACTGTAGTTGCATTTAGCATTTCGAAAGGCATCAGATCCATCTTGGTAGATACATTTTTGAGATACTGTACATGTATCCCATGCTTAAAGTAGCTTCATTTGTTTCATTATGGTGTAGTTGATCAATTAAGGAACACATTTATCTAACGTAGTCCTTGATTTACCGTTTCATTTTTTAACGTTTGGTAAACATGAATATTTAAGAAAAACGTTCATATTACTCTACTCTTCAGCATTGTAAATACAGCTTGATGCTCAGCACTTAGCCTGTTAACCATTAATCTTGCCTCCTTTCCCCTTCCCTCTAACTCCCCAACTCCACACTTTGCTACCAAGCCTCAATATATTGTCTTTTCATTTATCTCTGGTGATTGTTTCTGTTTGTTAAAACACTTATACTGAAATTTAATATAGTGCAAATTTGTTGAAGCACTTTTTTAGCTTTTGGACTTTGACATTTTGCAGCCAGTGAGGGCTTATATGTTTTAACAAACAGCTCTAGTTTGTCTTTGTAATTGTTACTATTATTTACATTTAACTGAGTAATAACACAACTTGCACTTCACACTAGGCTTAGATTTGTTCCCAGTGTTGGTGAAATATTATTTGTTAAGTTACATTATGTTCATTTATTGTAACCAAGCTAACACTGTGAGTACTCTACTTTATTAATGTGAAAATCAGTACAATAACCATTGATAAGGAAGACTTAAACTTTATATTTCCTTATAAAAATATACTTTATTACTGTTGATATTAGACATTGTAATATATAAATATACAGTATATAATTTTTTTTCACAGATAACACAAGAGACAGTGAATGTGTTTGTGGAGGTGACAAGCAGCACATCACTAGGAAAGGCTAAAGAAGTCATTGACTCATTGATTCTTTTTTCCTTACAAACTGGAATCAGTCCAGAAAAGAATGCAGGAGGTAAGGACGTATTAACAATCCAACAAGTTCGAGTTGTGGATGAAGATGGAGGCCTACGTGTTCTGTATCCTTCCCGCACTGATTTGGTTTTCAAAAATGAAAAAGTTAGAGTTGTTATGCCTGACAAGTGAGTTCTAACTATGAAATTGATTGTGCCTGTCAAAATTTAATTACTCAGCTTTATGTTGACATGAGCAATGTTTTTAGTTTTTGGCCAAGACTTTTTTCAAAGTTTGTATGTACAGGTTGACAGTCCCTTATCCGAAATCCTTGGGGCCAGAGGCATTTTGGATTTCGGAATTTTTCGGTTTTCAGAATGGTTAGTTTTTTTTTTTTTTTTTACACACACATGTATTAGCCCACCAGGGCATAAGTTACTGGCCCACATTGGGGCCTGGGGGGCGAAAATATAATAAAAAAAATAATAATAATTCATAGATCTAGGTCATGTTTCTCACTTTTGATCTTTTTTTTATTCTTGTATTTCTTTATTATTATTATTATTTTATTATTACAGTATTAGTGTTATTATTATTATTATTATTATTATTAATTTTATTATTACTGTATTATTGTTGTAATCATTAGTATTTTATTTTGGTGTATTTTTTATTAAAATTTTTATTTACTATGAGTAATTATTATTACTATTACATTTTCGCCCCCCAGGCCCTGATGTGGGTCAGTGATCTATGCCCGGGTGGGCTAATCCCTGTTCCAAAAAAAAAAAAAAAAAAGTTTTGCTCCACAAAAAAAAAACCTTTCGGTTTTCAGAGCTTTTCGGATAAAGGGTTGTCAACCTGTACTACAGTTACAGTTTTTTGTGTTGCAATTATACAGTAAGTCCTTGTATAACGTCAGCCCACTTAACGTTGTCTCAGTACTATGTCGCTAATCTTTAGATACTAAAAATTTGTTTAACGTCCCGATTATTCAATATAACGTGTTTGCGTCATGACGGACTGCTTTTTACGACGCATCACCCTGTCTCGGCAAGCTACAGTACCTTTAACTCGCAGAACGTCACAGCATCCCCAAGCGATGCCAACCCAGTCTCTGTTAGGCTTCCACATCATTCGTGTGTGCTTAAGTGTTTTTGCTATAAATACTGTACTCTAACCATTCGAAATGGCTTCCAAGCACCCATCAAGTGCTACTGATGCTAGTGTAGTGAAGAAGCAACGTAAGACCATTAGCCTTGCTACGAAAATGGAGGAGGAACGCCAGTCAGAGCAGGAGGAGGAGGCACCCGCCGAGTCTCAGTGACTCACCACCCTCCTCTCCCGCCATCCTCCTCCGCCCCACTCGCTCCACCACCTCCCCCATCAGTGAGTACAATACAAAATGATTTACTTTTTTATATATATAAAATTTTCTATAAAAAATGCCGTTGAATTTCTGTATATGTAATGTATTTCATGGGGCAAAGGGAGGCTCAGGAAAGTAATTCCCGTATTTTATCTATTTCTTATGGGGAAAATTGGTTCGCTTAACGTTGTTTTGTATAACTTCGCGTTTTCAAGATCGTAAACTCGACGTTAAGCGAGGACTTACTGTACTTCAAATGTACTTCAAATACTACGTGCAGATCTGATATACAGTGGCCCCTCCATTAACGAACTCAATCCGTTCCAGAAGGTCGTTCGTTAACCGAAAAGTTCGTTAAACGAAACCATTGTTTCAATGGGTTTTTGGGTAATTGGTTCCAGCTCACCGAAAATTTTCTAAATTCAACAAAAATGGTAGAAAAGTTCACTTACTTTGAGGTGTGTATGTAGAAGGCTCCTGGATGATGATGATGATGGGAATTAGAATGGGGGTGGAGGAGAAGGAAGAAGAAAAGGCATTGGGGTGGAAGAGAAGTCACCCCATGGCACCATATCATCCATAAAATTTTAGTTCTCTTGGTGTATTTCAAGATTATTTTCTTTAAATCAACGCTGCACTGCATTATATATTGTCAATATGTAAAATATATTTCAAAATGACCAATAATTTGCTTGGAAACACAGAAAAAAAGCGTTTAGTTGAAGAGTCTCAAGCAAGATGTTACCTCCAGTGAAAACAGAGAGAGACTAACTCCTGTTTGCTGTGTTAAGAGGCTGGATGCCGCGCATTAAACTAGTCACTTTACCTTCAATTATGTTCAATAATTGTTAAAATGACTAAAAAATTGAATATTAAACTTTTAAAATTATTGAATAGTATAAACTTCTTGATATTTACTAAAATAGTAAGGAATTTAAGCCCTAGAACCGATTAATGTATTGGCGGACTGATAGTAAAGCTGGTTGCCCGGTCAGTGCAAGCGAAAACATGTTGTGGTCGGTTCGTAAGAACTTCGTTAACCGAATTTTTTTTCGTTAACCGAATTGAAGATCCTTATGGAAGGCAGTTCGTTAATCGAAATTACGTTAACCGAGGTGTTCGTTAAATGAGGGGTCACTGTACTGTATTTCTAAGTTAAAGTTGGAATGATTCAGTTTTTATACCATTCAGTTACAGTAACTTAAGGCTACAGTTACTGTTTTCCCAAAATTAAGCTGGAATAATTAATTTTTATACCTACATACTATTTTTTCAGTTCAATCACTTCACCTTCATCAGTTTGTTAATTTTTATTTTTTAGTGATTATTGCCATTGAAAATTTTTCATACATCAAAATATTAAATACACTTTTATATGTCACACTGAACTCTCACTAATTCATATCCAGCCACCTCATATAAATAGAAAAGTATATATATATATATATATATATATATATATATATATATATATATATATATATATATATATATATATATATATATATATATATATATATATATATATATATATATACGCACACAGTATAAGGCCCTTATAATTAGACCGGCCTCTATCCAAAAGTTAGGTTTTGGCAAATTGATTTTTAAGATTGTCGTAAGCATGTCTCTTAAAGTAACAAAGGGATGTAAACAAGAGTCCACACAAAAATAAATCCCACATAGACCTAATGTGAGATGCGTAGTTTAGACTCATAGTGAATCTTTCCCCAGTGCAGGATGGAATATTCCAATGTCATAGGTATGACACACAGCCCCATTCACGTCTCACATGCCTGTATCATATAGATTTTTTATTTTCTTAAAGATATTTATTTAACCAAACTTAGATAAACTATTCATGATTTTTTTTTTAAACAGTGTTTCTCACGTAATTAGAACTGATTTTATTGACTTTGGTATCAACATTTCTTACTTTCTTTCTTTTCTTTTTTTTAATAAAGGAATGGAGACCCCCAGCAATATATCGTGTCTAAATATTTTGTTTAAGGATCTTTTATTGGAACAGTCTTGTAGAAAATTTATTCAGAATCATTATGATACCAAATTAATATAACACAGTTGGAACAGATGCTGTGAATAAAAGTTAATACATTTTTTGTTGGCGGTAAATATATTTGCTCACAGCCTCGTTTACTCAAGAGTACCTTCATTTGACGGCCGGTATCACACAATTTTTTGTTTTTAAATATATTTACTTAACCAATCTTTCAGATGCAATATTCAGGATTATTTTGGGGAAAAAATGGTGTTTCTAACTTAATTCAAAGTAATTTTATACTCCAGTATCAACATTTCTCATAAGTTTTTTCATAAAAGAACTGTCCCCATCATTATATGTGGAAATATTTTGTTGGAGCAGTCTTGTAGAATTTTTATTCAGTATCATTATGGTACCAAAATCACCTCTAATACAATTAGAACACATGCCGTGAATAAAAGTTTATACACTTTTTTGTTACCCGTAAATATTTTCTTTGATGCCCGCCGTTTAAATGTAATGGGGAGTGTTTGTTCATGTTAGATGAGATGCATAGTTTAGAGTTGAAATGAGATGTGAAATTTAGACTCTTGGAAAACTTTCCCTATCACCTAGAAACATTCCGTGGATGTGTGAGTGTCTGTCCGTGTGAGATTCATATTTTAGACTCTGGAAAACTTTTCCCAGTCCAGGTACCTGGAAAAATTCTGGGGATGTGTGATTTTTTCCAGGTTTGAGAGAGTCGTCTCATTACCTTGAAATCTCTCATCTCCAAAAGAGTTCTACACCAGTTGTTCTGGCGAACAGGAATATCACTGTACAGTACTGTACTGTGTACTGAAAAATAAGACAAATCCTACATCTAAAAATATTTGCAGTAGTTACATATCTTACAAAACATATCCATTTAAGTAAAATAATAAGTTAATTTGTTTAGTACTGGAATGATAAATCATGATAAATATATACTGTACAACAAAATTCTTGTGGGAGGTATGACTGCAAGAACAACACAAAATTTTTGAGGACAGCTGTAGCCATGAAAAAAAAATAACTACCACAAAATATCGAATTTTGAATTATCAAATTAATGAGGGTTCAGTGTAATAAAAAATTTCCATTGTATTTATGGTAAATATTGGATTAGAAATAATTTCTTACTCAACTTATTAAATACCATTAAATCTGCCATATTAAATTATACTACTAGCTAAGGTAAGCATTGCTCAGAAACAGCTGCAATGTAAATTAATACAAGCTGCATTAAATGTACTACTATATCTCTATAAACCCAAGAATTTTATACAGCACAAATATAAATATTGTACATCATTTCAAGTTTTTCTCTTTCTTTCCCACATTAGAAGGTATTTTGAGCTAGTTTAGTGTGACAGGCTTTTTTTTTTTTACTTTGCATTGTTTAAGGTTATGATATCTGTTTTGTGATCATGTCTCTCATGCTTCAGTAAAATCTTGATATTTGTACTGTACCATATTATGAAATATTCAACACTTAATTGACTGTGATTCCATAAGTACTCTCTGTAATGATAATAAAAATCTATATACAGTATATGTGGAAATAAGTTTTGTATATTTCCACCAAGGTTGTGTGACTTGTAAATATTTTAACTGACAGTTAGCACCAGTAGCTCTGCAATGTCTTCGTGTGCGTAGAGAGTGAGCTTCTGTAATACCTGTACAGTAATTCATTGTTGAATTTACAGTATGTATTTGTTGTCAGGGATAAGTCATTGATTTTTCCATATATTTTATATAATCCTTAATTCACTTGTATATAAGTATAAATAATGGTGATGAATTATTATGATTATTAATTATTAATCTGGTGGGTGAAAAATTATGGCCATCAGATTTATTCACCGTATTGAAACGAGTTAAATAGTTCTCGTAATTCACATTTAGTTCTGGTGAATTAGTTTGTTATAAATAAGTTAAGCTTGCATTATAACACTAATTTTACATACAGTACATTAATAGCATTGAGTTTTTCAATTGAAAATATAAACATAAACTGAATGTAACAATACATGTCACTTGGTGACATCATAAGTCGGTGGGATTTTCAATGAAGAGAACTGCTTGCTCCAGTCATTGGTAGAACAAGTTAGACCACCTTGATCAACATTTTGGAGGAAGACGACTCACTGCTGCAAGTATGCCAGCAGTATCAGCGTAGCAACTATACTAACATCGGCAGGACCTTACATATTCAAGGTAAAAAGGATTTATACCCCATTTCTGTCAAAGATTTTGGCTAAGTAACTGATGGTTATTGTAGAGAAAGGTTTGGATCCAGGCAGGTTGGGATTGAGGTGAAGGTAAGCCTTTCTTTGCTGAATTAATTTTCATTCATGGGCATAAATCATGCCAATACAGTAAGTCCTCGCCAAAGGTTGTTCCAAACAACTTTGTTTCATTATAATGTTGCTACTCTATAGATACCCGTGATTCCGACAATGTTGTTTTATGACCCACCCAATTCGTTAGAACGCTGCCTTAATATTGTCACCCAGCACGGACTACAATAGTACAGTTCTTTGTATGGCGCGCAGAATATGGCATCTTCTTCCCAGTCTTTCTTAAACTTCCACAGCATGTGGTCATGTTAAAGTGTTTCTGCTGCAAATACTGTACTGTAACCCATCGAAATGGCTTCCAAGCGCCTATCAATGGTAGTAATGCGAGAGTTGTGAAGAAGAAACACAAGACCATGGATATTTTAAATTTTTCATGAAGGTGAATGTGCTGTGGACATTGGTGTAGCATTGGGCCTAACCCCCACAACAGTGTGTAGTATCCGGACCAACACAGACAAGATTAAGGCCCATTGGTGAGTACAATACAAAATGATTTTTTTTCTTATGAATGAAACATTAATTTAGTTTCTATTAAATTTATATATACTATATGTACTGTATTTCATGGGGTAAAAGGAGGCTGGGGATTGTAGATACTGTAGCTATTTTTTATTTCCTATGGGAAAAATTGTTTCTGTCAACTTTGGTTTACAAGAATTTAACCTTTTTTGTTGGAATATAATTACCAGAGAACATAGTCTCTTCTTAAGACATTCCAGACATGCAAGTGTGCAGTAAGTCAAAACACTATTGTACAGTTCTGTACTTCATTACCCATTATTGGTGTGGGGGGGGGGGTGAATTTTGCCATATCTATTAGTTCATCTAAAACACCCATAGACTTGACCATTTCTAGCAGAAGAGGTCCTTTTGTACACCAAATCAATTTTGTGGTTGCTCCTTCCTTATCTCTGATGCCTTACTCCCCCAAGGAATGCCTCTCCAGGGTAATTGCCATAATAGAGGAGCCTCCAGCTTGCCCTAATGCTGCAGTCATTTTTTTCTTTTCTATTTCCCCCCCCCCCAATCCAATTTATAAATGTAGAACATTTACCATATAGTTTATACACTTTTCCAAATTCAAGAGCCTTATCTTCAGTTTAAAATTGACAAAAGTTGACTGATAAGTTCCCTAATAGGCCAAGAGTACATGAGAGTAGCTTATGAAAGCCAGAGTTTTCACTCCATTTTGTCTATACTCATAATTTGAAGTATCTTATCAGTATTTGGCAAGTTCAAAACTAGAATCCATAATAGAAAATGAAAGTATGAGCCATACTGAGAAACAGGAAAGTTCCTTTATTTTCACACACACGAGATTGAACAGAATGGACAAATTAGAACAAATAATTTAACTTGTAGGTCTTTATCTCTGGATGCAATTAAAGGATTATTTTTGTAACCGAGTGAATTCAGCTTCAATTTTATTTACCCATACAGAATATGTAGTCTGAATAAAATTTACATTATAGAATTAATGAACAATTAGAAATGTCTACATTTGAACTGAAGACCGCATCAGTCAAATCTATGATGATCCTTTGGTACTTTACCAATAAAACCATTGTAAAAGTCGTGTGCACTCATTGCCTTGCGTCCCTTTATCACAATTTGTCTAAAGTTCACCCACCCATCTAGACATAAAACACTTACCACTTTTAGTTTCTTATTATACACTACACTTCCAGGTGGGAGTTTCTTTATCAAATTAAGATTACCTGCATAGCTCTCATTTTGCTCACAATTTTTTTTTACATTAACAATCCTGTCTGCTTCAGTAGTATTTGTGATGTGACATTTATTCAACAACCATTTATCATTTCTTTCTAAAACATTTTCTTCTGTTACACACCCACTGTTATGTGGTATATTTTCCTTTATTTTTTCTAAATCTCTTCCATTATTCTCCTTAAAGTCTGGTACTTTAGTGACAGCTGTTTTACCCACATCTAAATAATGAGGAGACCATTCTTCTTGCATAACCATATCCCTGAGTCTTACTGGTGTTCCATGCCATATTGTCCATAGTGGGAGGTAGTCATCAAAAGCTCTGTACATGGCTTGAATATTACTACATGTACAGCAGTTCCATTGAATTTTTGAGGTGGCCTCACTAACTTTTGGAGCTGAAAAAAAAAAGAAGTTTTTGGAACAGTATTTATTACTATAATGTACAATGTGAAAAGATATTTAAAAAAGACTGCCAACATACAGTAAGTGATTACAATGATCTCAACACATTTCTAAGAGGTGATTATTTGTGACTTGTACCTTTAGTGACTCCATCTTCAGACTGTATAACAGCAGCCTGTAGTTTCTGTGGTAAGTCCTGCAGCACAGATATCAGCTCTTGGGCTCCTACTGCAGCAAGATGTTTGGTTAAAACACCACTTTTTGTGTCCCATGATATGGGAACTGCTACTCTGCTCACAATTTTTCCCACATCAAACCTTGGAGAAATGGAAATAGTGTACATTAATGTACATAAACCATATGCTATTTCTAAGCATCAGTAGATGCTGCTTAGCACTGAACAATAAAGCTTCATCATGATCATCAATCTTGCACACTAATTTTATTAGTAATGTAATGGAGTCCCTAGCCCCACTCCATACTCCTAGTCAGTGATAAAATGCATAATGGGGACTGCATTTTTTTAAAATGTGCCACACAAAAATTTTTTTTTTACCATAGGGTCCTATCTGTGAGTTGAAGTTCATGGCGTGAATACTCTGGGGCCCAACTGGGCATTACTTGAAAATAAACTCCTTTATTTCTGTGATAATTTTATTTTTAAATGATATCATTGCTAAAGCAGATAATCTGTCGTTCATCATGGTATTCCACAAGAAAGTTTTGATTCTTTTCAGGGTTGAAAAGCACTTTTCTGCCTCAGCCATTGTCATTAGTGTTGTTATCATAATCTTTATAAGCTTTACAGTTTCTGAGAATGTTGACTGTTGATAGCTTTCAATAATAATTTTTAACAAATACATGAGGCTTTCTTATTTACACAAATCTTCTCTTGTATAGAGTACACTAAGTTCAGTACTCAATTCGTCTTTTTCAAACATGGAATAAACTTCAACTGTTTGTTCAAGTTCATTACTGGGAAAATTATGAGCATACTTTAGAAAGTTGTTTAACAAAAGTAGTCTACTTGCTGCCAAATGATTAAGAAAACTAAATCTTTCTTTACATTGCATCATGATTACATTACAGACTTCTTTTGCAGCAGCTGATTTATCTCCAAAGCATTTTCTTCTCTTTGGCTCTGAATCCACTTCCTTGACTGTCACTTTCATCTCCTATTTTCTGAATTGTTGAGTTGAACACATTTAAGAAGCCATTAACCTTTGTTGCATCAATGTTTCTAGACTGAAACTAAGAGAATAAGATATCTATGTGAGGCATTACTGCTGTCTGGTTGACTAGGTTGAAAAATTCCCAGAATCTTTCAACTAGTTTTCCTTGTACTTCTTACCTTAACACAATTACCATTTGTGTTTTATCATAAATATCAGTGGTTTCATCACACATTACTGCCAGATATTCTGCATTATTTACTTCTCCCTTGATCCTTTCTTGACTTACTGTATGTTGAACATAGATTCTAGTAGTTCATTTTTTATGGGTTTTAATATTCTTTTGAAAACTGTTGCTGTAATTAAATTTGCTTTTAAACTAGAGTCCAGTTCACAGACAAAGTCTAGCAAACCACAAAATACTCCTCGGTTTTTCGAGCTTGTGGTTTCATCATGTCCTCTGAGAGGGAACTCAAACTTGCCACAAAATTTTACACAATCTATGACTTTTGATAGGACATCACAATTTTTTTCTCACTTGTTCATTATACTTGAAAACAAAGTTTGTATGTTGTATCAATTTGAGCGACAATATTCACTTTACCCAGGGGTGATAAATCAATCATATTATTCATGTGCTGAGCAGATTTTTCATACTTTCTTTTTTTGTTGCAAATGCTTCAAATCAGTCACACCAGTTTTTGTTGAGTCCCCGCCATAAAGCAAACAAGAATAGCAAAATAATGCATTTGATTCATCACAGCCACAGATGCAGTCACATTTTTCACACATTAATATTGAACTGATGTGAGTATTCCTTACTCCTACTTGTGCTACTCTGTTGAATATTCAAGTTTGGCGTATGACTTCCTCTTCTTTGGATTTCAATTTTCTCATTTAATGTCAGTTGAGTGAAGTTAATGCTTTGCAAATACATAACTTTTTCCCCCCATAATTTTGCTCAAAACAAAATTATTATAATACAGTACTGTACTTCATACCAGATATTATATTTTCGATCATATTTCATGTAATATTTTTCATTTTTTTATATTTCATACAAGCACGGCTCAAGGTCTGTCTACAGTGAAGTCAAAGCGCTGCTATTATACCCCTCCACCGTACGTATCAGACCTGCTCACTGGGCTGCAGAGAATGCAGCCCAAATTTCAGTGTAGCAGGGGCGCTAAATGCGTAAAAGGAAAGTACAGTTGCTAACTTGCTATGATTGTCAACTAAGTTTAGGTGTATTATTCTTATGAAAATAGTGTTAATATATACTGTAATGAAAACAACATTCTAACTAAATCTTTTAATAAAAATTTTGATTTTTTTTTCTATTTCTGGAATAGAAGTACATGTCATCTGGCTTTATTTTTGGGGGGGGGGGCAGCCACTTCTCTTAGTTGTTTTGTAAATTTCTGAATCAGTTGTGTCAACTTTTTACTGTTCGATATACAGGTACAGCTCCTCCCCGACTTACGACGGGGTTAGGGACCCAAATCCAGGTCTTAAGTCGAAAATGCTTAAATAATATATAGAAAATCTAAAATGGGTGTCTCTCAAACTCTCACTTTTAAGCTTGCCAGTCATTTTAAAGTGAATTACAAACGAAAATTTTGTCTGTGTACTGACGTTGGGACTTGAAAATACATAATTTGACAAAATTTTGGTACAACTGAGGCAGGTCGTAAGTGCGGGTGGTCGTAAGTCGAGGAGGAGCTGTATATATAAAAAAAAAAGTTACTTTGCCTTGAAACAACAAATCATCTTAGTAGAGTAATGAAGAAAGAGCATAAACCATAAAAATGGGCAGAAATGCTTTGAAGTCTATTTTTATCCTATTTTTGTACATTTGCAGTCTCTGCATAATTATTAGTGGTTTGTTGTTTCTCAGTAAACAAACTATATGTGACTTATAATGCAAATTCTATTAAAATATAGCAGTTTTAACATAAACAGCTGCCTTAAGCCTCGGGTTAGGGTGCTGCTGGCAGTACCCCCCCATGTTGGGTTAAATTGAGAAAAAACTAAGGCGGGAAAATAGGCGGACGTTCTGGAACGTCACCTGGGGCCTAAGGGTTAAAACATGACTAATCTCTACAAAAAATACATTAATGTAGAATGGGTACAGTACTAATGAAAGAAAAAGCCCAAGAAAAATGCAATGTCTGATGAATAGTAGAGGATATGAGAATGTTATGCCATGGATAGGTCCGCAATATGACTGCTGGCAAAAGAAATCAATGACATGCACAATAGTACTACCACAGCACACTTTTATATGTGGCCAATCTACTTAATATATAATTTTCATATACCCTGGAGAATATGCAAAAGGAATATAAAAATAAATAAAATATATTTAATGAGATTGGAAGAAAACTATAATTAACTTTTCAGGAATTAATTACATTATCTTACCTATGAGGTTCAATTTTCATTATAGTTATACCAGTTTCAAGGTCATTATTCAACACAGCATGTATAGTAGGTGCAGCTCCTCTCCATCGTGGCAAAAGTGAACCATGGATATTAAGGATGCCCCTGTGAACAGTAAAATACAGTACAGTACAGTACTCCTTTAGTCACACAGATAAAATATGTTCAAAGAAACTAGGAAATAAACAATTAGGGAACTTTTCAAGAACAGTTAATGGTCTGGCTCATGCCTTCTGTCCAGTGGCTCCAGTTGGGGTGATACATGAGGGTACACCAATCATCCCCACCTCCCAGTCACATCCAAGTGTGTGTCTTCACTTGAGCATTTTAACCCAAACAAACCAAACGAGCAGACAACGCACGAACGAGCAGTTCGAGTGCAAGCTCTGTATTCTGCATGTTCGACAGTGCTCGTCTTATTCCCACCGTTTTCCTCAGTTGAACCATGGATCTCACAGTGGCAGCAGGTGCATTATTTATTCCTTAGCCAAAAGGAAGAAGAAATCTAGGAGAGTGTGGTTAAGGCGACTATTTTCTGGAAGGAAAAATATGTCCCTGTTAAGTGAAATGGATCGTGGCCATTTGAAAAACTTTACTCAAATGACACCCTTTTACCCCCTGAAGCTGGCAAGCAAACTTCCCATTTTCTTCTTCCCATTTCCATTGGGAACATCCATAATTTGTGCAATGCTCACCCAGCAATCATGCTTCCTATCTTTATTGTAGTACAACCCATGTTGGGCATTCCACAGCTCAGGATGCTTCTCATATTCATCCAGTAAGGTTAAACATTTCTCCCTGTCCCACTCCATAACACACCATATAGCTGGAACAGCATTAACACCTGTCCTGACAGAGCACCAATGAGCAACTGAATCTTTTTGAGCACTCACCATCTAACGACAAGCGAAGGAAAACATTTGGCGCGTTTGGCTCGGAGACACTTACTTACTAGCCGAATTCTGCTCATTTGGTTCGTTTGGGCTAAAATTCTCAAGTGAAGACGCACCCTAACAGTCCCTAAATAGAGAAGATCAGGTGCAACAGTTGTTCTCTGAAAAAAGAAGGCCTAGATTGTGTATGACTAATCAGCATACTTCTTGCCATAACTATGACTCCAGTACCAATCCATCATCTATTCAATTCATCGCCAAATGCCATCAAGTGTGGACATCAGCACACTCATGCTCCTGTGAATGGCTTATAAGCTATAAATGGCTCAGTGTTACATCCCCCATCACATCACATCTGGGATTGGTAGCAATTACCACAATTCTTGGCATAAACAGCAAAATAAGATATAAAGTCTTAGGTTTCATGCCCCATTAGGAAGCTGAATGATATTTAATAATTTCTCCAGTCTAAAACATGCCCTGGATACATATATCAGTTACTAACAATGCTGTCATGAGATATGAATTTTAAGGAGTAATGAAAACTAGCCAGAAAAAGGGAATTCAGATGATTTACAAATTAAGTCGTGTAAAGCTTACTGGTAAATCAACGATGTCTTATGGATTTCATCTTGCAAACGTTCTCCTTCTTTGGTACAGCTCATTTTGAAGGCTACAGTTTGAATAAAATAAAAAATATATTTTGGAAAATTAAAAACGATTTTGCTAGAAAATTACACCCAAATAAGACTAAATATTACTTACATTGGGAATGCATTTATAATTTTAGCAGGTATAAGATGTCCAAAAGAAGCTACAATGCCAAGATCATAAACTCCACGAGGTACTTCCAATGGCCAATCATGAAGTGGTATTCTTTCCCTAAGGCAGTAACGTCGAACTGCAGGAACAATCTTCTTCAAGGAAACGGACACAACATTCAGTTGCCCCACAACACCACTGTAAACAAGAACACAATCAATAAATACTACAATATATTCCAAAATCAAACTGCTTGAGACCATGGATAGGTTACAGTATTATGTAAAAAATATTTATATAATGGTTGCCTATGGACTGGTTTTAAATAGGTTTCTTGAGACATAAAACTTTTCAGGAGCACACCTACAGAAGGCTCTCTGTTATCCAGCACATTTGGGGAGCTGGTGGTGACTGATTTCTAAGAGTTCTGGTTCTTCAAGAGAATAATTTCTGAGATGCTAACATACAGTACCGTACTGTACTGTACTGGGTTTTGGAAGGTATATTTACCACAGTTTCTTAGGGAATACGATATGGAAGCATTAACATCTAAAATGTTCCTTCAAAAGTAAACAATTGAAGTAAAAGATGGTATCAATGTATTTACAAGGAAAACCAAGGAAAAAACAGTCCAATTCCTCAAGCCAATGTGGGGTATTTTTGAGGTAAGAAATAAGTTACTGTATTACAATTATTGACAACATACACACCGCCAATTTTTCACAGAAAATGAATTTAAAAATGCTGCAATTTCACTGTGTTTTGCAGTAGACATTGTTGTATTTTGGGCAAATGTGTTAAAAAGTGGTTATTTCTAAATTAAATCTAACCTAACCTTAGTAGATAAGAAACAAAAGTGGCCAAAGTGTTGCTAGAAGACTGAACCAAAGAAACCTACTTAACCTTTCCTAACTTCCAAGCCAGGGGGCTCTGCCCCCTAGTTCCAGTGGCATTTTAAACAGAAAGAACTTACTATGATATGTTGCAATGGGGGAGAGCCTGGGAGATCGGGGTTTTTGGGTGGGGTAGAAAACGAAAATGAGTCATCTGACCTGACAAAACCTAACCTAAATGTTTCAGCAGTAAAAAACTCTGGGGGCGCTACATGTCTGAAAGTACAATACCTTAGAAGTGGAAGGACCAGGGATACGTAAGAATTGGATAGAATAATTGTCTTGCTCGTAAAACTCTGCAATAAACTTAAAATAATCGTAGGAGCACAAATGACAACCAACCTCCACCACGGCCATTGTGAAACTGGTCAATGAAATTAAAATCATACCCAGGCTGCTTCCTTTAAAAAAAAATCAAATACTCACAGATACTCACAGATGATCTTCTGGAAGAGGCTCACGCCTGTGACTCCAGCTCAATAGCCTCTTCTCTACTCAGACGGTGGCTGTGTGTGGCGGATATTTGTGCCCTATAATTATATACTTGTTGATTTTTCCAGTATTTATCTAATTTTGCTTCAAACTTTTCCACCGTCTCCACATTCACTACCCACTCAGGTAACCCATTCCAGTTGTTGACAACCCTACTCGTGAACGAGTGTCTTCTGAGATTTAGCCTCGCTCTTGTTTTGTAGATCTTCTTTGAGTTCCCCCGGGTAGTGTCAGCCTCCCTCATCTCGAACATTCCTGCTGTACATGCCTGGTCATATATGCCACACACTATCTTGTATGTTTCCACTTGGTCCCCACGAGATCTTCTGTACGCCAGTGTCGGTAACTGTAATTTCCTTAGTCTTTCCTCATAAGATAAATCCTTGATCTGTGGAATGCTCTGCCTTGTTTCCATACTCTTAAAATGTGTCTCACTTCAAAAAGCTGGTTTTCTGGCATCTTCATGGTGTAGATTAATACAGTACTCTTATTTTTTCGCCCCCTTAAGCCCGGGTGGGCTATTCCCCGCAAAAAAAAAAAAAATGGCTGAGACAGGTATCTCGTCAATATTAACCCAGTTATTCCTTGGCTGAGACAGGTATCTCGTCAATATTAACCCAGTTATTCCTTGGCTGAGACAGGTATCTCGTCAATATTAACCCAGTTATTCCTTGGCTGAGACAGGTATCTCGTCAATATTAACCCAGTTATTCCTTGGCTGAGACAGGTATCTCGTCAATATTAACCCAGTTATTCCTTGGCTGAGACAGGTATCTCGTCAATATTAACCCAGTTATTCCTTGGCTGAGACAGGTATCTCGTCAATATTAACCCAGTTATTCCTTGGCTGAGACAGGTATCTCGTCAATATTAACCCAGTTATTCCTAAAGTCTTTTAGATATTTCTCGTTAGGTGACTGGTTAACCTAGATTATTCTCCTAGAACATCACTGTCAAACCCATAACACCATACTGTACAGTGACTCACCTCGTTTGCTGTTCGTTGTGGAGCGCCATCAAACTTTGAAGAGCAAATTCATCAGTACCAAAGAACATAATATCCCATGGTGGTGACGACTTATAGGTGGCTGCACATTTTGCTTTGTGTGTACAGGGAGTGGTTAACTTCCTCCTAGTGTACAAGGGCTCCCGCATTTTTCTTAACTGGTAACAAATAATACCTTTTACTTTTTGATGCCAATTCATATTCACATAGGTTTATTTTGAGTAATTTTTTCAGTCATTGATAGTTATACAGTTATAATTCTATGACTGAAAGAATAATCGGTGAGGTTTTTGACGTTATTCTGTTTGGGTTCTTGTACATCACCACACAACAGCCGGCTCCTGTATCCTTGGTGTTTACAGTCTATTATCTACTTATATCCAAACTAGAGCCATTATCCTTTATCCTTTTATACAGGACTAATAATAATAATAATGGTAATTATTCGGTAATGACTATGCACGGAACTCTACATTGATTTTATATGGTAATAGTGGAGCTAGAACTTAAAGTAATGAAAAAATTCGTAAAAGTTCTACCACGGAAACTACTAACAAAAATAGTTTTTTTTTAGTGTATTTTGTGGTATTTCAAGTGAATCTGATCTTCATTTTATCGGAATTGAGGTATTATGGAGATATAACCTCCCCTCCACTACCAGTAAAGGCTAATATATGACTTGTGACTGTCAGCTGTTCGGTAATTATGGGGGGTGTTTTTAGTAACAGTTTTGTTCACTGATTACTTTCACTTCTATTCATTTCCTGGGCAAAGATGAGAGTGTAGGACAAAAGGTTAAAATTATTGTTTCGGTCATCCACGTATTTGGAAATTGAAACATACCATTGGAAAAACATAATTTCAACCTAACCTAACCAAACCTAAAATTCGCCGGATGACCAAAACGATGATGATACTGACAAAAGCCCCCTAGGACAAATAATAGGAATTTTAAAATCATATAAAATATTATATTTATTATGGTAAAATTATTGTTTTGGTCATCCACATATTTGGAAGTTCAAAACACGTCAAAAAACCACCAGAAAAACATAATTTAAACCTAACATAACCTAAACTTAAAATCTTAAAATTCACTAGATGATCAAAACAATAATAATACCTTTATTTTATCATAAGACTGCAATACCAAACCTAACCTATTTTGCACTTTAACTGAGGGACGTTTGTCTGGGGGCTTTTATCCAAGGGGGGGACTTTGTCCAGGGTACTTTTCTCCTGGGGGCTTTTGTCCGAGGGGGTTATTGTACGTACTGTGAAGGATAATATATGAGACGTGACCGTCAGAGGGTTCAGTAATTATGAGGGTGTTTTTAGACACAGTTTTGTATGCTGATTACTTTCAGTTCTATTAATTTTCTTGTGTAAATGCTTAGTTTTCTAGATATAGGCGAATTAAGATATATGTTTGGTTTGGTTAGCACATGATTTCAGCCAGTTTTATATTTTTTACGGTGAATGTTTATAAGTGCACCCAAATTTGTTAAAAAGTCAAAAATATATTTTTCTAGTGTATTTATGTGTTTAGATCGGTTATGACCTTCATTTCCTTCGGAAATTGGCCGTCTTTGTTTATAATTTTTTTTTGGTGGGGCGTTTTCTGAAAAAAAATAATGGCTAGGCGAATACAAAATACACAAAAAAACACTAGAAAAACATTAACCTGACCTAACCTAACCTAACCTAACTGACTCAACATATGATGGAATCACTTATTTATTACCCTTATTGTCTTGGTTCTCGTTCGTAGTTGGAGTTACCACAATGCCACATATGTTGGTCTTGACGATATTTACATTCATTCTTGCACTTAGGACACTTTACTGAGGTGGGAGAACACCATGAGATCGAAAAAATGCTATAGTTTCTTCGTTTTTTCCCCCAAAACTCGCAATCAGCTCCATATAATTGAAGTGACACTCATCGCAGACTTCCATGGTCGGAAATTAATTTGAATTTTGAAATATGAGAGACCCAAAATTAAACTCGAATTTGATTGGGCCAAAAGACCTCGAATTAAACGACATCATTTTAATTGGTTGCCCAAAAAAACTTTTGATTGGCTGCATGATGTGTACGGGAACGCATGCGCGTGATGATTTATGAAGGAGACATGCAGTGTTGGAGGTGAGGTAGGCGATAATGGCGGAAGATTGATGGAAGAAAATAGAAAAAATTTTGTATATGCTATCTCCGTTATCATGCATTTGCGACGGTAATGTAAAAGAGGAAAATTATCTTATAAATAGATGTCTTATTCGAATATGATAATAGATTAGGGGTAGGAATGTTGGGTGCGGAAATACAATAATACCTTTTTTACCAACATAATACAGTATCTTCTAATAAAATCAGTGAAAACTGGGTATTTTTAAACCCATTTTCAATGAAAAGCAGCGGACAGTCATGATCCAAATAATTACCCCGATAAATTTGATTACACAAAGTGGGCAGGGCGTTGGAGTAAAGGGAAATTATAGGGTAAAAACATGCAAAAAACTGACAAACCCAAACCTAACGAAATCCTAACCAAAGAAACCAGAAGGCCCTCCTGGTTCTCCCCATTTGTTAAAAAACTTACCTTAATGAATAGATGAATGGCAATAAAGTGATGCCACTTGAATGAGAAATTAAACACAAGGCACAGCGAGATTTCTTTGTCATGATGACTATTGTCATTTTGCACAAAACCAAAGTTCTTATCTTGATGGTAGTGGCAATCTGAACCACATTTTCCACACCTCACAGAGGTTGGCAGAGTACCATAAACCTTGAAAATTCCAATGGCAACTAGTCAAGGAAAATTCAAATCACTAAGCACGAATAGAAATATCAATTGACACTGAGACTTATGGTAATTGGCGGGACATAGTCACGCGAGTCAGATGTAAACAGTGTCTCCCACCAAAATGTACTGTCTTTATAGAAATCAAAATATTAAAAGAAAATTGAAAAATATAAATTAGTGATGGAAACATAATACCTATAGAATAATTTTTTTATCCTGTCTTCCTATATAAATATCAATACGTAGTACGCATGAAGTTCCGTGGTCGACCTTTTCTGAATGTTAACTAAAAATAAAAATACAGTACCTTATAGCGTTTTTTCGAAAATTTATATTAATATTATTTTATGTCTTGATTTCACTTAGAAATATATAATTTTTATCACGCAAAGTGGTCAGGGCTTTGAAGTACTGTACTGTACAATACAGTACAGGTACTCTTCAACTTATGACATACTCGACTTACAACAACCAGGACATACGACCGCCGTGGTTGTATAAAATATTTTTCAAATTACTGTACATATTTTCTAGTACCGACGTTAGTGATCGCGCTGTGTACTGACAATTTTTTTTGTACCTGTAGTTCCCTTTAAAATGGCTGGCAAGCATAAAAGTGAGAGTTCTTGTGCTGCTGAGAAGAAAAAGAGACACCCATTTTAGAATTTCTATGTATTATTTTCGCCTTTTCGACTTACGACCTGGTTGTCGGGACGGGACCCCGTCGTAAGTTGAGGAGAGACTGTATATGATTTATAAGAGATGGGATGAACCACTCTCACTTAATCTAACCTAACCTGTAACCTAACAGAGGATAGGCAGGTTAGGTTGGTTGATCTTATCTCTGATAAATCAGTGGAACATAGATGAATATTCAAGATGAAAAAAGTCACCAATATAATAATACCCAAATTGCAGTACAGTATTAATGAAGCAACAACCTACGTACTATAGCATAACCTAGGTAATACTCATTTTATTTTGAATGATTTAGTGAAGCAGCAGCTATCAGGAAGTGGTGATGCTTCTTTAAATAATTTAGGGATATTATTTGCTTCTGAACCTTGGCATCATTAACTGAATAAAGTGTGAGTGGCAAAAAGATGTCAGAGGTTTGTTTTCATTTGCTGGAGCTATTTGTGGCTTCAACAAGTGAAAAGAGCTCATCCATTTGGTGCTACTGTTCTTGTGTATTTTAGTGCTACAGTTTATATATTAATAGGGTGTACATACAATAATTACAAAACTAAGTTCTAAATATTTTTTCCAAATATTTTATGCCATTTTTGCTAATTAATCTTATTATTGTATAAAAAAAATTTAAATATTTTTTCTGGCATTTGCAGCTAAACCTAGAGACTTGTAAAGAAGAAAATATTAATTCTTTCTTTATAATTTTATTCTTGAGAAATTTTACATCCAACCACTGACCCCCTTGAACTGTTGTTCAAGTGTTCATAATCTTTTGCAATACAGTATTTGATAACTTTACTGAAGTTTGTAGTCATTTGTAATTTTATAATAATTTTTTTCAATACTAGAGTACATACTTAACTTTAACAAGTTTCACAGTAACGATTCATCACAATAACGACAGTAATGAACTGTGGTAACTCAACACATTAACGATACATTTCAACACAATAATGATACAGTAGCACAAGTTGATAGTTACTGTGGGCGGCCATCTTGATGACATCAGCGAGCATGGTGGTTTATTGCGATCAGAGCGTGTGAATAGGAGGCATGGTGTAATTTACTCACTTATCTATGATGGCACTGTTGATGATAATGTTCAAGATTTACCTGTGTGTGATCTGTTAGATGATTTGCCACTAGAATTCACTGGCTTTGAGACTGAAGGATCAGTTGGTGGTGACGCTGGGGAAGCAGCGTAGTGTGAGAGTGTGGGGGCAGTGGTAGGGGGCCACTAGCACCACTCCCCTGCCTTGGATGACAGCAAACATTCTCATTAAGCTGTTCAATGAGTGTCTAAAGGTTGGTTATTATTAGTTATTAACTCTACATGCAGTATTAATGTGTGTGAATAAGTGGTTGTGGGGTCTATAGGGGGTGAAAGTGTCTGAGAGCTGGTACCAATTGACCCACTTAGCATGTAAACTATACTCACCGCATTAACGATTTTCAATTTAACGACTGTTTTTGTAGTACCAATTAGTCGTTAAAGTGAAGTATGGACTGCATTCAGTCTCCAAACTCAGGCCATTTTAACCGGAGTATAGGTTAAGTTTGTATAATCTGGTTATGAGGAAATCCGAAATATGAGAAAATGTACATTTTTCTTTCCTATGTAATATCACATAATTGTGCGATGGGCCTGAGCTAATTCTACACAAACTACCAAGCCCACCCGACCAGACCCACATGACCCACACCTCTGTTCTGGAGTTTATCATGTTTAACATTGGGATTTGTACCAGTATTTCAAGGGCATTAATTTTTTTCTGTCCTGTGCTTTGTTATACAAATGACCTCAAATTTACATAATAGAGTATTTATGTTATTTTTTTGTGTCCAGTAATTGGAAGATGCTGTGGTGCTGGCACCTCCATCTGGGAGCAACCCTGTATTGGTTGGTCAGTGGTCTAGTTAGTGCAAGAGTATGCATGGAAGCTAGACCTGTGTCCAACCCTTCCTCTGAGAGAAGAGGTATGGCTGGAATCTATGGCAGTATTCATCACTTCCTCTTGGATCCTGCACCAGTTTCCTTCCCTCACTGAAGGGAACCTACAAGATACAGTAATGAGTACTGTACTGTCACTAAGTAATACAAGCTCCCAGGTGAGGGGTGGACTGCCAGATAGTGCATAGTGGTTGTACATCCTATAAGTCTCTGGAATTTCATATTTGTGACTCCTCATACATCTTTTTTATAATTTTTTTATAAAAATTGTAGGAATAGCTGCAGTACTGTAGTCCCCTCCTGTTTTTCTGCAAATTTACCTGTTTTGTTACCATTCTGTCATCCAGTATACTGTAGTTAGCACAGTGGTTATCCTGAAATTCTGTGATTATTTTCTTGCAGCCGAGAAGCAGTATTCGACATGAGTGATTCTGATAGTGATATTGACTCCTATGGCCCCCCTTTACCACCTGGTATGGGATCTGGATCACATAAAAAGAACAAAGGTAAGAGGAAAGCCAAATACAGTATCAAATTACTGTAGCTACTCTACTAGTAATGGTGAAAATATTTTGTTAGGCAAATTATTTTATGGCCAATTCCTGCAGATGGCATAAATACTTTTTTTTTTTTTTTAGTTTTGATGAATATATAAACAGCAATAAATTATTTTGCTGATACAGTATATTTTACTTACTTTACTAATAGAGAATTAATTACAGTTGCAACAAAAACTCCATCTGATGACACTGAAGATTTAGATGAAGATGACTATATGCCAGATTTACCACCACACTTAGTAGGCAAGAAAAGAACAAACAATGACTCCCAAAGTGCCAATCTCTCTGACACAAGTGTAAGTCAAAACCTTCAAAGACAAAATTTAAAGAGAACTGGTGAGGTACATACTGAACATCCCCAAAGTAAAGCAGCTAAACCAAACCAGGAACGAACACCAGATATTGGGTCTGATGATGATGATGATATGTATGTGCCAGCTCTACCTCCACATTTGTTGAACAAAAAGCAAGAGAAAGCTACAAGTTGTGACAATAGACGTATCCTTGGACCAACAGTTCCAAAATATTTTACTCTACCTGTGGAATCATCTAATGTGAGCACTGATGGGGAGGAAAACAGTGAAAGTGAAGACAGTGATGGGCCAGTAATTGGGCCTCTACCATCCACACAGAAATTCAGTGAGGAAGAATACAGAATCAGACAACTAGAGCTTAGGGCAAAGAGAATGAAGGACAAGCTAGAAGGGAAAGATGCAGTAAGTTAACAGCATACAGGTTTAATGCATGATTATTTGTACATTATTGTTAAATAAGTTTTCATTAATAGGTTTACAAAATAAGCCAAGAAATCTATGGTAATTATAATGCAAACAATAGCCTTACTTTTTCAGCAGGACAACAAGCCACTGGTACGTGAATCATGGATGCTAGAATTACCAGAAGACAAACCCAACTTCTGTGGTCTAGCTCCTCGTCAATTTTTGCGTAAGACTCCACAAGTAAAAGGAGATCGCTCAGGATGGACTGATACTCCCGCTGATAAAGCAAGAAAAATGGAGGTAGGGTATACAATTTTGTTACATTAATATTGAGATATGGTTTATATAGAAATCTGTCTGCAAAAACACAGATGAAGGGTCCACTAGAAGTGATAGGGATGGAAATCTAAGAAGCAGAAGTGTGTGAATGAGTGGAGAGCGGGGCATAAAATTTTTTTTGAAAGGATAAATTGCGGATGTGTGATAAACTATGATGAATTAAAGGAATCTAGATGCTCTTGGTGTGTGTAATAAAAAAAATGACGGTAAAAGGAGAGGTGAAGTTTGGACAAGTGAGGGGGAGTAAACTCTGGCAAATCTGAGAGATGGTGGTGTTCAATAATTAAGTTTGGAGCTGTGTCATAGAATACATGAAGGTTAATCCCAGAATACAATGACTCTTGAAAGTAAAGAGTGAAAGGTGGGTTAGAGTGAGTAGCAATATATCCACCAGGAAAGAGAAAAGAAGTTTTGGGAATGCATGTACGTACAGTACGGTAACCCTTAAAAATCCTGTCGCCTCTTTTACTGCTCCACGAACCCTGATATTCAGATTCATGAACCTGAAGCAGTAGACACTGATGCATTATTCTGTCCATAAATACTTCAGATTCAAGAGTCTGAATCTTGGAGTTCGTGGTTCAGGAGGAGAGGTGACAGGATTTTTTTGGGTGACTGTATTGTACTTGAATAATTGTACGTACTGAAAACCTGAGTGTGAGAGATAGTAATGGTGATGAGGGGATTTAAATACAAGAGTTAGTGATAGGGAAGTGGAGAGGATTGTGGGAAAATATGGAGTATCAGGAATGAACCAGAATTGAGAGACTGATAAAACTGTGTTCCAAAAGAGGGTTGATTGTGGGGAATTTTTCAATTAAGTGTTTATTTAAAAAAGCCTTTGTAGTTATTTTAAATTTGCCTGAGTAAATTTTTGTTCATGGGAATGTATCTCCAATTATATAATGGAAGTCAATGGGAAACTGGCATTGAGTTACAAATTTTTTGGGGACTAACCCTTTTGTAACCCAAGGGAGACCTTTTCATGGTAAGAGAGGTGTAAATTTGGTAAATAGGGATATGAGATGTGAATAAAGTTGTTTCAGCAGGTGTTTGCAATGACAATGCTTAAGTGAGTGATTCAGTAGAATTATCATCATCATTGTTTGGAAGAGTGTGTGCTAAGAGCCCACTGACAGAAATGTCTAATTTGTCTGCAATTTGTTGTATTTCAAGTCAAATATGGCTGATTTTTTCACTAGTTTATAGTCACACAAGGGTTTGCTTACCATATTGGCACAAACACAATTTTTTTTATTATTATCTTTAAAGTTTATTTAAAAAAAAAATCATATGCAACGCTTGTAGAATCAAAGTTTAGTTAGGTGACCTACAATATAGAAATAATACAAAACATTTGCAGGTCTATGTCCTGTACATTTAAGCGGTATGATCAGAGGTACGTGAGTCGCCAGTAGCACTGTACAACCTCGGAAAAAAATCCGGCCTGGCTCAGGTTAAGCGACGCACTAGCTTAATCATATTTTGTTTTGTTTTTTGTCTTGTGATAATACAAGACAAATTACAACCCAGACAACCAGCCAGCAGAGGCTTATTATGGTTTGTTTGAATATTTGAGTGATGTTCATAGTGAAAACGATGATGAAAATTTTGCAGATGTAAAAAATAAACGGAGAGAATGATAGTGACGACACTTACGAGGAACATTAATTCTGGAGAAAAAAATCCAGACATGTCAGTGTTTGCCTGCCTAGCACATTTTTTTCTTGGTCATTGTGTCTTCCTGTAATTAAATTTAAATCTAGACTAGCTATATTTATTTCAAGAGTCCAGACACAACAGTCAGCCACAAATAAAACATTGCATCTCTCTGAATTCAATACAGTCAGTTAAAAAATGAAAAATTATGGTATTTCATCTTCGAAAATTTGTCTGATTTTTCTCTCAGATTTGTCTGCAAGTAGATCGCAGATCGCAGTCATATCTGTCAGTGGGGCTAAGAGAAAGTGAGGTAGATAATGTTTTATGACTGAGCCCAGGAATATGTAACGCATATTATAGCACCAAGTTCATGGGTTGGTAAACAAGGTATATACAGCCATGATCAGTTAATGTCTAAGTCTCATTTATTAGAACATTATGTTTTCCTATCTCAGTGAAGTTACCCAAAGAGGTCTTTAGAAGTGTGAATCATTTCAGAAAGAGGGCAACTACCAGTAGCTGGCAGTCACTTATGTTGGCCATACAGTATTGGGATTTCAGGTGTCAATTTCCTCAGTTGCAGCAAACTTCCATGTTACCTACCAAGAGGCCAATGTGACATGGAGCCCACTGGGGAGTTAATCCTACTTTTGTTAAAGCAGGTAACAAGGAGAGTTGCCTTGTATATTCCCTTGTGCCACTTAGTCTCTAAGTGTAGGTATCTCATCCAGATATAGGCTGATATAAGCTTTGTAGATGACCAGGAACCTCTTTGTGGGATGGACATCCCATGGAAAAAGGTCATTGAAGATGTAATGCCTGTAGGTCATGAGCCTTAAACATGCAGGGTGGTTTTGTCAGTTTAATAGCAGTCACAATCATTTTAGATGTAATAAGCTATTGAAGCTCCACATCTCGGTCTGTGATCCATGACCAATGTGTGCTGAGGATATTTTTGTGATCAATCATGATGCCATACCCTTGAGTTTAGGCCAAAGTGGTGCAGGTTAATTATGACAGTATATAAAGGGACTGCCATGGCAGAACACATCTTTCACAGCAGTGTGAGATTATGAATGAAGGGAGAATATGCATGTCTGTATAGTAGTATACTGTACTGTACTCTCGATTTAACGGAATCCGTTGTAACGAACTCTTGATTTAGCGGAAGGAATTTTTCCCGTTGTTTTTCACCGATTTAGTGAACTTGTTTGCTAAATCAAAATTAATTCCGTTAGTACGCTCACACCTATGTAGACACCTCAGACACATGATGTATACAAAGAAACATTATTCGTGGCTTACCTTAAACTAGGGAGTTAGGGGTTTGTTTTAAATTTTTTCTTTAATTTCCAAACTTTTCTAATTGATAGCTGCATTCTTTTGACTTTCTTCTCCACACCACTTCCTTTCTGAGACTTCTGAGAGACTTGGCATGATGTCTAAGCACAGTACTGTAGTTAGTTGACCAAGAGGTAACAGTGAACAACACACACGGTGGTGGCAGGATATAGACTGAGCGGATGTAAACAAACCCCATGCGCCAAGTGGTGCATTTGGTGTGGGATTTAACAGAATCACGCTCGATTTAGAGAACTAGTTCGCTAAATTAAGTGAAAATAACGGAAATTTTGATTTAATGAAAAGGGTAGCTCAAATTAGCTCGTTAAATCGAGAAAACTCTGTATTAGCTCTTGATTCCAGCTACCTTCATTTAGCAGGAAAAAGCTTGATTGTAAAAAAAATTACACGAACATTATCAGTTTTACATTCTTGTTTCTTATTTGCTACCATTCCTGTATTTCTTACTCTATATAAATTCTCCATTGTACAGTGGTCCCTCGGTTAATGAACGCCTCGGTTAACGAAATTTCGGTTAATTAATTACCTTCCATAAGAATCTTCAATTCGGTTAACGAAAAAAAATTTGATTAATGAAATCCTTAAGAAAATCACGTTTTGTTTTGAACATCAGCTGAGGGGGTACTCAGCCAATTCATTAATCTGTTCTATGTTTATATTCGTTTCCAATGGAGTAAATATCAATAAAGTTGTGCTCTATAATATTTATGCATGTTTTCTATTAAAATTATTAGTCATTTTAACATTTATTTAACATATTGATAACCCTGTATATGCAGTACAGGGAACTAGTTAGTTGTGCACCCATTAAATGTGTGGGTCGGCCACCAGGCGTCAGTCTGGCATTGTTTTCTGTGGAGAGAGCACCTATTTTGTTGGTGTCTTGAATATTTTTGCATTTTTCATTGAAATTATTGGTCATTCTGAAAGGTGATTTCTCCTCCATCCCCACTTCCTTCTCTTCTCCCTTCTCCTCCACCCCCACTTCTAATTCCCATCATCATCAACCAGGAGCCTTCTACATACACACCTGAAAGTAAGTGCACTTTACTGCATTTTTTTATACTTTGTATGTACTTTTCGGTGAGCTGGAACCAGTTACCCAATATCCCATTGAAACAATGGATTCGGTTAACGAAATTTTCGGTTAACGAACAACCTTCTGGAACGGATTGTGTTCGTTAACCGAGGGACCACTGTGTTGTGTATTTCTTTTCAATTATTTGTTTTCAAAATTCACCTTCTACTCTAATGAAATTCAGACAAGATTGGAAATGTAGAATCCTTTTCAAGCACTAATAAATTGTTTTTTTAATTGATAAATTATTCATATGTCCAATTTTTTATAGTGTTGAAATGGCTTTTAAAAATAAATATTTTTCAGATGGGTAAAGAAGAGGAACAGCAGGAATTAACTCCTGAACTAATTGCAAGCAAACAACGTGACAAAGAGCTTTCTGAAAAAGTGGATAAACATAACCAGTCTAAAAGAGCCAAACCTCTCATTGACATGCACAAGAAGAAACTAAAGGTATTTATTAAATTTCATTTCTATGTCTCACTGGCTGTTGATCAGAAAACTGTCATGTGACAGAAAGATATCACAATGTCAACAAAGTTATGTACATTTGAAAGCTCGGCAGTCAACACTTGCCCACCACTATGCAAGGAATGTCAGGTCAGGCAGGAAGCTTGTAAAATTATCCAAACAGTAGTAGACTTATACTGTTTTTTGATAGTTTAGATAAGGACTACAGGTGCTCCTCTACTTAAGAACATTCAACTTACAAACTTTCAGAGATACAGACATCATTACTGAGGGGGGTTACCTGCCAGAACAGGTGTTTAATGTGGATGAGACTGGATTATTTTGAAGAAAATTCCAGATAGAACAAACATTACCTAAGAGGAGAAGAGTGAGCCAGGTTTTAAAGCTGTATTAAAGGGTATAGCTGTACTAAATATCCATAATCTTTTCATTTTTGCAATATGTTTGGTGTCTACAATAGTAAAGTTGGACTTACAAATAAGCCTCAGGAACGTAACTCATTCGTAAGTAGAGAAGCACCTGTATAAGAAGAGAGATGTAGAAGACATTTTATATTGCAGGAATATTTTATCTGTACAGTTTACTTTAAATATTAGTCACAGACCTAGAAAAGTAAATATGGTATAGTATATGTTTTACTTTTATGTTCTTATGCTGTTGGGGGATGACCAGTTTGAAAATGTAAATATGGGTACAGTACAGTACATGTATTCCAAAATTGGAGAGCTTAAGAACTTACCCAAGGCAATTTAAATGTCTGCTTCATGCACAAGTAATATAATGTATCTAAAGAGAAGATAATGATACACTTAAATTAGAAATCCATAATACTGAATCAAACTTATTTTTGCTCTTGCTTTTGGCCACTTGTCAAGCAGCACTCGTAAGTTCCCTTCAGGTGCATAAACACCATCTGCCATTTGTTGCTGATACAAATTTAACACTGCATTTTCCAACTCCATTTGTATCCTGATCACTCAGGTTTCTTTGCAAAGGAAGTCTTACTTTTCTCATGAATTTTTAAATTCCTTAGTTTCACTTGTCCTTAATAATATCATTGCTCCAGTTGAAGTGTTTTTGCACCTTCTCCCTTCTCAGATACATCTGTTATACAGTATTTAGCTTTCCTGAAATGCTGAGATTACTTATGCTGGAAAGACATGTAAAAGTATCCCTGGAAGCCATATTTAAACCACTTTGAAGTGTTCCAAAACAACAAATAAAGTGTGAACAATGTGTCTGTAATAAGTGCTTCTGACAAGGCAATATGTGAGCCACCATAATTTTGTACAGGTATTTGTTTGAGATTTTGTATTTACAGAAATAAAGAAACTGTAGTACTGTACATTATTTGTCTGAAAGTCCCAAAGTAAGCTAAATTTTGAAGTGTTAATTATATAATTATGGGAGCAGACTGGGTTGTAATTCATCACATATTTCATTTACTTCTCATCTTGTGTGAGAAAAAATTAAACTTAATTACTTAAAAAATAAATACATATTATTTTTACATTTCTAATTTTAGCTTTTATTATATACAATACTTTTATTTTTCATTATGTACGACATAATTGCTTACTAAAAGCATTACCTGTATGATATTTTTGGGGGAACAATACAGTACTGTACTGTATTTAGTTAGTAGATCCTAGTGAATAATGTTATTTTCTTTATCTACCAGGAGACAAAAAAGAAGTCTGGACCAGAAGAGAGACGTCCTTTCAGCCGCGAGGAAGACATGAATGTGAATAAATTTGATGATGCACAGAAAAATACTATCATAAAGAAGGCACGGCAGCTTAATGACAGATTTTCTGCTGGAGGTAGAAAGTTTTTGTAATTTTATAACAATTATTTACTTACCTTAGAAGTGATAAATACTTTAGATTTAATAGATTTATAACCTTTCTGTAGGTGGCTAGGATAATGCACTCACTAAGCTGTTGGTTTAAAGCCATGAGACTTACCGGCTAACATTAGTGGCTGGGACAAATCTTAGAAGTGATCTGTTCGTCCAATTTCCCCTGTAAGGAAATGTAGAAGTAAAGGTTTGCCTTTAGTAAACTAGAGGGATGTGCTCCAGTTAGTGCACCCTGTCATACATTACAATTTGGCTTCAGTGGTAAACCCCTTTTATTCCTGGCCATTCCAACACACCAAGCAAGTGGTTCCATTGCTGGGTGGCTCTATTTTTGCAGGTTAATGCTGTCTGTCTCTTATTACTAAGCCCAATTTATTTTTTTCTTCTTCATTTAATAAGCTCTTTTGAGAGAATATTAGGTTCTTTTGGGTGTATTGGGATCTGTTAACAAGTTGATATCATATTGTATTGTTCACTGTGAATTAATAGGTTATTTGACCACTTGGGCTCTTTCCCAGATAAGGATTAAGACATGTGCTTCCACTAGAATTGGACTCTTACACAAAGGGTAGTTCCAACACCATGATACCAGGTCTTGTACTCTGGAGGGAACTCTCAGGTTGAATTAATATTTTCTCACATTGAAGTCAAAATAAATTGCTTTTAATGCTTGAACATGAACTCTCATCTGAATGATTAAGAGGTGATTAATACTGTGCTTGTGTTCAATGCATATGGATAGTTTGGAATTTTAACCTTAATGCCTTGGGAAATAATAATGTCATGCATGGGAAACTTAAAAATCAGAGTCTTGCATTTTAGCTGCAAGCCAGAGTTGGGGGTGATATGTCCAGGGGTCAGTGTGTTTCTGTTTATGAGATTTGCCTAATTTAAGGACTGTTTGTGTCTGTTTTTGGAGCTTGGGATGTGCTTATCTGGATATATTTATCTTATTTACTAAACTTATCTTGGAAGGAGGTTTCCCTGGCTGGGGGTCATGAGATGTACAGTAGTGCTCTCCATACTGTCTAGAATAAAACTGAGGTTTGCTTGAGAATTTCTTTGTGCTCGGGGAGAACATGCCAAAGGTAGCATTGCCACTCAACTTTTTTAAGTATTGTACCAAATTCGATCACTAAAAGGTACCAATTCAGTACAAAAGGTACCAGACTTAAAAACAAAGTGTAACACTCAATTTCATTAAAGCTGCACATCTTTCATGCCCTTTGCTTCTTCGGGCACAGACATCTTATTGTAATGTACAGTCTCTCCTCGACTTATGACGGTCATTGTCGTTATATTATACAGTATTAAAATATTTTACATTATTTTCTGGTCTAGGCATTTGGTTGTAATGTCTAACGATGCCTTACGACAACTTCGGCTGGCACGCTGCCACGTGTGTACAGCATCCACGTCATACCCCGTCGGAACAGAACCCCGTCGTAAGTGGAGGAGAAACTGTACAGTATATTGACTTTTTCCACGAGTTTCATAGGGGTTTGCCAGGACTTACTATTAACATCTTGAAGCACATTTTTGTTGTGTAGTATTCTATTGAGTGTGTCTGAGGTAAGACAAAATCTGTTTTTTGTTTTGATGGTAGTCACCATTGAGAATGTTATCTCTGCAACAGCAGAAGGATGAGGCAATGATAATAAATTCAACTTGAGTCTTGATAAATTGGGAAATCTTGGTTGATCACCACATCTTTTGGCACAGTTGATTGATTGATTAATTGGGGAAAATATCCCATTAAGTTTAAATATAAAAATTAAAATAAATAAATTACCGGTGCTCATTTAAAAATCACAAGCAGTAAAGTATCTCTATTGTAATAAAAAAAAATTAAAAGTCCACCATCAGGTGATGAACTTTTCCTGCTGAGCACCTTTGAGACTGAGAAGAAGCCATCCCCCTGTCAGCACTTGGCCAGAAAACGACTCCTCAAATTCACATGACTGGGACACTACTAGCAAGTGTTGTAGTCAGTGGCACCAGGCAGTCATCACAATAGGGTTGTGGTTCTCTGGCCATAAGGAAACTGTGGGTGAGGTGAGTGTGGCCAGCACATAGATGGCTAAGGGCAGTTTTATAGCGGTGGGGCATCCAAGAGTATTCCCATGGATAGAGCTTCATCGTAATCTCTCGCAGCAGTCATGTCCAGACACCAGCATGGAATACAATTTGGGCCGATGATCACATCAGGTGTGTGAAGGATTACTGGAAAGTAATCACTCCCACATAGATCATCCCAGATCTCCCACAAAAATTCATGCCTGCTGCTGCAGAGTACAAGGAAAGGTCAAGGACAGAGTGGGTTCTTGTCTGCACATGGAAATGGGTTGGGGAATTGGTGTTCATGATATGGAGATCCAGTTCCTGTACCACAGACTCCAATTAGGTTGATTAAATCTGTCCTGGACGTTGGTGTACCAGGGGGGAGGCAAACAGCTACTTTCTCTAGGGGGGGGGGGGACACAGCTGTATAATGGTGAATAGAACGTTCATGGAGGTGGAGATAAAGATGACTGCCTCCATGAGGACCCAGTGACCCACCATCTCCTACTGGGTAAGAATATATGGCTTGATAAGCATGAGGAGGAGGATGGTGGCCTTCTCCCACCACTGTTTCTTGTAATCACACAAACTAGCAAGAGACGAGAGAACAAAAGGCTCCTAATTAGCCTTTAGCCCTTTATTGTTCCATTGTGTCGGTGAAAATTATTAGTTGGCTTCTGGCAAGACCTCCCGCTAGTGGACGATGGTGATGCCACAGGGACACCTGCCCAGACCTCTCAAAATTCTTTAGACCCACAGGATCAAGGGCCTGTGGTTGACTGGCTCCTGCTGTTGTTGGTATTTTTACAGGAACCTTGGTATGTCTTGAAAACAGCATTACCACCAGAAGGGATTGGTTGATTTTGTTAATTTTTCCACAGATGTTCTTATCATTATATTAAGTATTTTAACCCCTATGCCCTGGGCTATGGTGCCGCTGGCCGTACCCCCCACTCGGGGTAAATTGAGAAAACTCAACTCGCAGTGGCGAGGGAGATAGGGGAAAGCTTGTTTAGACGGGGAACGCTCGTGGTCACTACACACTTAGTGGCCATTTTCTGCTTGCCTTTGTGTCTGGGATGGCCAGTAATACATATATTTACTAATCATAATACTTATTTTCTACAAATAAATCATTTAGAATTTATTTTATTTGCATTATTTAAAAAAAAAAAGTGCTCGGCGACACATGCAGTCTGTCGTCAGGCTGTCTTGGGCAACACACGCAGTTTGTCATCAAGCTGTCTGGCTGTCTTTGTGTTTGGGAGAGCAAGTTATGCATATAAATAATTATCGGATAAATAATTCCACAATGAAATACATTTATTTCATAATCACAGCATTATTTTCCAGTAATACTTCACTACAGTACAACTACACTACATTTAGCATCAGAGGTTGAGGGACGACTCTCCATGGTGACAGGCTAATGCGTACTAACTGCACTAAGCCCACCCATGCTGCCTTGTGTGTGGCGTGACCACCAAATAGTCATGCTGGGCATTCAAACAATGGCGCGCGTTCCGGAATGTCAACCAGGGCGCCCTAGATGAACTTTCCAGAACGTCAACTGGGGCGTAGGGGTTAAAAGAGGCAACATTTACTTGAACCTGACCTAACTTCCTAGTCGGGAGTCTTTGCCCCAGTCTTATTAAACAGAAAGTACTTATTTTTACATCTGGTACCAATGAAAGCAACTTTGTTGAAGCGTCATGGTGTAATTTACTTTTTTTGTGAATGTGAAAGTAGGCAATGAACTCGGTAGATTTTTGGATGAGTATTTACAGTAATTAATTAATTTTCTTCATGTACTAAGCGCAATTTCCCTCATCCTTGATGCCCTGCCCACTACAGGTGATTTATGATTGTAGGTAGAGAAAACCAAAAAATAAAATACTTATAATTAAAAGAAAAAGCTGTTGCCTCTTTTAAAATACTATAACGATAAGAACATCTGTGGAAAAAATTTATGAAACCTTAGTAGAGCCATCTAACTGTGAATCAGTCAGTGACTCTGAGGAGATAGTGTTGACAGGAGCAAACACCCTATTAGCCCTCGAGGATCCCCTTGATGATCCGGTGGGCTGACCCTTTGGAAGAGGTTGCGCCTTTGAAGATTCTTCACTATGATTTCTTTTGTTGCCCAGATATTCTGCCTTTGGAGAGCAAGGGGCTGAAAGTGGGCTTCTGAGGTGTGGACAGTACATTAACTAATGAAGTGGAGCACTTGAGAATAATAGAACTTTAGTGACTAGATATTTTTAGGCTTGACATTTTTGGTCTGGAGGTTGTAGGTTTTATTGTGGATGAATACAGTGGTCCCTCGGTTAACGAGCACAATCCATTCCAGCAGGTTGCTCGTTAACCGAAACCATTGTTTCAATGGGTTTTTGGTTCCAGCTCACCAAAAATTGCCTAAATTCAACAAAAAAGGTAGAAAAGTACACTTACTTTGAGGTGTGTATGTAGAAGGCTCCTGGATGATGATGGGAATTAGAATGGGGGTGGAGGAGAAGGAAGAAGAGAAGGCATTGGGGTGGAAGAGAAGTCACCCCATGGCATCATTTCACCCATAAAATTTTAGTTCTCTTGGTGTATTTCAAGATTATTTTCTTTAAATCAACACTGCACTGCATTATATATTGTCAATATGTAAAATATATTTCAAAATGACCAATAATATGCTTGGAAACACAGAAAAAAGCGTTTAGTTGAAGAGTCTCAAGCAAGATGTTACCTCCACTGAAAACAGAGAGAGACTAACGCCTGTTTGCTGTGTTAAGAGGCTGGATGCCGCGCATTAAACTAGTCACTTTACCTTCAATTATGTTCAATAATTGTTAAAATGACTAAAAAATTGAATATTAAACTTTTAAAATTATTGAATAGTATAAACTTCTTGATATTTACTAAAATAGTAAGGAATTTAAGCCCTAAAACTGATTACTGTATTGGCGGACTAATACTACAGCTGGTGGACCGCCAAATGCAAGCGAAAACATGTTGAAGTCGGCTCGTAAAAAACTCGTTAATCGAGGGATTACTCGTTAACCGAAGTTAAGAATCTTATGGAAGGTAAATCGTTAACCGAGGGACCACTGTAATTACTTGTAGTCTGCCTCTGCTTATCGGAGGTTGCCTGAGACACTATATTGGCAAATGTAGAGCCACTGAAAAGTGGCTGAGACACTCTTTCACCTGTTTAAAGAAAATGCACTCCTTAGCCTGTAGGCTAAGCACCCTGCCTGAAAATATTTGTATATGTTGAAATTCCCTGTAGTGAAGGGTTTAATTAAGATTGGCTTTACTGGAGAACAGCTGTTAAATATTATTTTCTTACAACAATTATGCATAGCATTGTTTATTATGTGCCTAAAAACAACAAATCACTTTAACTGAACACTGCAGAAAAAGTTTAGGTACAGTATTTGAAAAAGGCTTACTAAGGTGAATTGCTGTTTATAAGCAATGGTGACGACCGTGTGTGATTTTTTTAAGGAAATTCCACTAGACCGAATATTTACAGTTCCTGAAACATGGCACTCAATGGCTGATTTTACCATAACTGAGTGAGTGAGGCAGCCTCTCTGCCTTATCTATGCATCTACAAAGTTGTCAGTTTAGTTAACTTCTTAACGTATCTTGGTTAGGTTTTCTTAAAATTTATCACATCCATTTATTACTTATACATTTCCGGAATAAACAAAACTTTAAACTCGTATTTTAATTTTATTTGCATTTGATGTATGATAACTGACAAATGGCAGAGGTTGGGATATATGTACAGTACTGTATCAATATTCTGTACCGTATTTTAAAACCAAATTAAACCTTTGTATTTGCCAATTGTGAAAATTTAATGAATACATTATCAGGATTTTGAACATATACTGAATTTGACATTCTGTATAGTTTAGCTATAGAAACAAAAAAAAACTGATCATAAACAAAATACAACTATTTGAAAAATGACTGGTCATGCACTGCATAGCACAAGTTGTCATCAATTACATATGCACAGTAACACCACAGGGGCGGATTCAGGAATATCAAAAGGTTGGGGAAGCGGTCCAAGAAGTGTGGGTGGGGAACATGACGAGCACAGCAAACCCACCCAACTGGGGGGTTTTGGAGTGTGTGCTGTAATCCCCCAATTTTTTTTTTTTTAATCTGAACAATATCATGGGCATTTTAAGGCCATTTTGAGGCCATGTGCACTTGATATTAAAATATATTTTGAGGTCAATAGTAATTACAGTATTTTTTACTATACAGTACAAAAAAAAACCAAGTACAATACTGCAATAAAGATAGTGTTGGAATTTTCTTATGAAAAGGGGTCCCCCGGATCTGCCCTGCACCACTAGCCCACATCATTCACTACCAATAATTTTCCAACCAGTGGGTGAAAATCTTGATACACAGGCCTGATGCCTATGTCCAAAATATACATATGTACTGTACTGTACTGTATTTCCAAGTCTGGCTACATTTTCCATTCTTTAATCAATGTAATTTCAAGATGATCAAACCATACAAATATCTGTTAAAAGTTTTTTATTTTTTGAAATATAAGATTTACTAAGTGCAGATATTTCAAATAACTGGTGATAATAGACAAATCAGTTAAAAAAAAATTCCCATAAAGACTAGCCACCTTGCCCCTGGGTTCTGGCCCAGGCCTTAGTGTTTTGATACCTTAAGGCACCCACCACTAATAGTCCCCTTCTATTTGATATTATATATCTACTTTCCATTTGACAAACAGCTTGTCCAGCTCTCTTTCCAGGAACTCATTGTTACCCCTACAGCCAGCTACCACTTCAGCTGCCCAATGGAAATATTCTACTACTCTTTCCTGTGTCCAGCCATGTGGTGTGGTTCGATCTAAGTCACGCAGGTTATACAGTTTGTCTCCAAGTTTAACAAGTTTGGCTTCTTTACTTGCTGAGGCTGCCTTCACAATCTGGAGTCTCTTTCTCTCTTGTTTATCTAGGTTTTTGTTGTCTGTCACCTGGGTGAAGTATAAAAAATGAAAAATTACTTATAAACACAGTAGACTAAAAATACATTATGATGCAAACTATGTTTATCTTTCGTCAACACTTGACTTACAACATTGTACATATTAACTCAAGGCTCCAGAATTGGATGGGATCACAGTGGAAATATTAAGAGTGGGAAGAGGAAAAGTCATCGAATGGATGATGTGACAAAGAACATGTGCCTGTATTAATTCCTCTGTACAGTGGTCCCTCGGTTAACGAACACAATCTGTTCCAGCAGGTTGTTCGTTAACCGAAACCATTGTTTCAATGGGTTTTGGGTAATTGGTTCCAGCTCACCAAAAATTGCCTAAATTCAACAAAAATGGAAGAAAAGTTCACTTACTTTGAGGTGTGTATGTAGAAGGCTCCTGGATGATGATGATGGGAATTAGAATAGGAGTGGAGGAGAAGGAAGAAGAGAAGGCATTGGGGTGGAAGAGAAGTCACCCCATGGTGCCATTTCACCCATAAAATTTTAGTTCTCTTGGTGTATTTCAAGATTATTTTCTTTAAATCAACACTGCACTGCATTATATATTGTCAATATGTAAAATATATTTCAAAATGACCAATAATTTGCTTGGAAACACAGAAAAAAAGCGTTTAGTTGAAGAGAGTCTCAAGCAAGATGTTACCTCCACTGAAAACAGAGAGAGACTAACGCCTGTTTGCTGTGTTAAGAGGCTGGATGCCGCGCATTAAACTAGTCACTTTACCTTCAATTATGTTCAATAATTGTTAAAATGACTAAAAAATTGAATATTAAACTTTTAAAATTATTGAATAGTATAAACTTCTTGATATATCCTAAAATAGTAAGGAATTTAAGCCCCAGAGCCGATTTATGTATTGGCGGACTAATACTACAGCTGGTTGACCGGCCAGTGCAAGCGAAAACATGTTGAGGTCGGCTCGTAAGAAATTCGTTAACCGAATTTTTGTTCGTTAACCGAATTTAAGAATCTTAAGGGAGGCAGTTCGTTAACCGAGGGACCACTGTATAAAGAAATGGGTGATATGAAGGAATGCAAAAATTATAGGAAATATGTCTGTTGAATAGACAGGCACTTATATATTGATAAAAAAACATAAAATGCATACAAATCATCATTATCACCTTTACAGCCATTTTCCATGCTCGCGTGAGTTAGCAGCAATTACTTGATAGCAGCTGTCCATATAGCATGATCTGTAGCAGCCTCTCTTGTCAAATTTGTAACTACCGTATATTGCAGCCTATTAGTCAATCTGGCTTATAAGACGACCTTAATTATTTCAACTGAAATTGTTGATTGAGGCCTATACAGTACCTGGCAGTTAAGTCGACTTCCTAAACTGCAATCTGAAAGCTACATCCTTGGTGTCCGCTAAACTTGCCAAAATTTACTTTTTAACAGCACTCACAAAAATAAGTTTTACCTAATTGTAGCATTTTCAAAACATTAAAATACCTTTCGTTGTTAACTACAGCCTTCTTACAAAAAAAAAAAAAAAATGTTGCTAGGGCACACAAATGTGGTGTAAACAAATCACAACAATATAGTTCCTGCATGTGTAAAAATATTTATCATACACTGTACACTAGGTGGGTAATGACAATTTACTAGTTACTCAAAGTTTATAATTAAATATATTGACAAGTAAAAAGTTTTCAAACTTAATAATTAAGGTACAGTCTCGTTCAAGATTCTTCGAACACTGCTGGAGACAGCTAGCAACTCAAGGCCGTTAGTTTACTAGTACATTGTAAAATTATGAGTACCGGGGGTAAATGTAAAAGTGATCGGTTACTTAGTTCCCCGTTGCTTAATTAATGGTTTGGCTTTGTTGTCTCGTATTATATTATACTACGTACTATAGTAAACAAATGGCCTTGAGTTGCCAGCTGTCTCCAGCAGTGTTAGAAGAATCTTGAACGAGACTGTACATGATAAGCAAAGCATGTTGAACATTATATTGACAGTATATGGTAGTACAGTGTATTTGCAGAATACGGCAACAAGCACACTTTTAAGGAGAAAGAATGCAATGCACAATCGCTTACATTAAAGTACTGTCCATATGGATGGTGTACCATATTCACAAACATTGCAAATGCTTGGAGTGGTTTCTCTCATAAATAGATATTGATGATTACTTATGATGAAGAGTGTAGAAATAATTAACAGTATGCACAGAAAACCTGCTATGATGCAATGTCAATCAATGTGGAGAACAAGGATTCACTTTGTATTTAAGTATTTCTTTTTTAATCTTGTCTTGCATGATTTCCTCTACCATCTCTCTGTCTTGATATTTCAGTACAGTATCCCTTAATCCACCCCATACAGTATTGGACAGGAATTAATAACAGATAAAGAGATAGACAGATGAATGAGGTGCTTTGTTAAATTTGTGTTACAAAATGAAATGTGTGAGGTAAGTTAGAGAAACAATGATAGGATGAGAATAAGTATAAACCATGTCAGTAATGTCTAGACAATTTGTATTCAAGGCAGGGGAAAACTGTACTGTACTGTATAATGAAATTGTTTAAAAAAAAATAAATAAATAATAATAATAATCTGAGTGCTCCCCCACTTACCTCTGCCACAATTCCTGCTACCTTAGTCCCAAATTCCATAACAAGTTCTTCATTAGTAGTGTCTGTATCTTCAACTGTGTCATGAAGAATAGCAGCTTGTAATACTGCCATATCCTTCACTTCACCCTCCACCAAAAGATTTGCTACACCTGAGAAAAGTATAATTAAAAAAAAAAAAAAATTACATATGGTGATTTAGGAAACTTAGTGCATATTACTAGATAAACATAATCCACAGTAATCTAGCACATTTTGTTAGCAATGAAACAATACTGAATTTAGAGAAGTATATACAGGTGGTCCCCGGGTTATGAACGGGTTCTGTACTTGACGTTCTTAAATAGGATTTGTTCTTAAGTCAGAACACCTGCTATGTGCATACCGTACTTACAGAACAATGTTTAAAATTCCACTATATCAGAGCCTAAGTTCGTATATACTGTACATCTAAAATTACTTAATTTTAGAAAAAAGAAGAAATAGAATGACAAAGTACAATAAGTGAAGTAAAAAATAAATCATCAGGTAAATAAAATACTGCACTATAAATTTCAAGTTTAACCATGTTTGTTTCAGCAGGTGTTTGTAAGTTGGGGACCCTCTGTACTGTATTAGATCTGATGAGTGTACCTGGAGATGCACTTGTCTGATGATGCCAACTTATGAACTTGCGGTGTTTTACTGCCATGTTTGTATAAAAAACTGGTGAGAACAGTGTTTCTACCCCTGTCATAATTTGAATAATGAATGTTACCTGGAAGAACATTAACTGTGTTTTAAATCCAGAGGAAGTAACATAGGGAGGGATTGAGTAAACTGGGGAAGGGGCTTAGTGAATGATTTCAGGATTATCTACTATATTAACCAATGTATAAAAATGTATAATAACCCATAGCTAGAGATCAATAAAATATGCTTTTGAAAAAAATAAACAAATCTAACTGTACATGATGAATCACTTTAATCTTTCAATGATGATTTTAATACAAGTGGCCCTCGCTTTTTATAAAATCATTTAATGCAATTTTACTATTATGCAAAGACCCTATTTCTACAACTCCCTTGTTTTTTGCAAGAAAAATTTGCAATTATGCAATTGTCTGGGTTGGATGTGGGAACCTCGTGCCACCCTCAGTCTAATTAAACCAAGTCTACCCACGCATGGGCGGAGCTTATTATGTGATGTTGTTGGCGTGTAGTGGATCCCAGGTGAGAAGATATTCTTGGCATCTATCCTGATTTTCTCATCCCCTGGCACACTATCTTTCAATTAGCCATGATTTTGCCAATATCAGTGTAAAAGCAATTAAGTAATCAAAGGCATATGGGCTAGCTATTAACAAGGGGGGGGGGGGGCTGAAGGAATACAAGAATTAAATAAAATAGCTAAAGAAAACAATAACAAAATTTCATGATTATAATTATCATTATTCTCTCTCCCCAAGCTCTTACAGTAAATCAGTGAATACAAGTATATATGTGTAGAGGCTTTCAGTTTATCAATATGGTCACTAGCTATACAAGTTTCAAGCAAAAATAGGTACAGTACTTGTCTTTCCACATCCGGTTTCCTGGCCAAAAGTTAGACTTTAGGGAATTTAAATTTAAACCTGCCAATGGCTCTCAAGAATTGCCCTTCCTCCTGTTCCACCCTATATATCTGCCGCATGCAGAATGAAATCCACTTTTTTTGTTTTTCATCCTTTGGAAATTGATGAAATGTCAAACTTTTATCATGTAGTCTGTAATTTGATATGCATCCAAATACAGAGCATTTATCAGGCATTGTCACAGACCTTCACACAACGACAGCCAACTGAGCTCCCCGCAGACCAGATGACGTTAAGCATGGCGAAGGACGAATTTTCTACTCGAATAGGGTTGACTTGGTATAATAAGACTTTGGTGCCACCAGTGTGGACTCTGTTATGCAGTTGGGGCTCATAAGGCCTTGAGGAGCGGATGCAATGATGACTGAGTAGCTAAATGAAGCAAGCTGCAGGTTCCCTCACTCAATGTTGCATTGTCCATTGTTGTGTGCTAACCTACACTATTTCTATCCCATCTTGTATTGTGGGGATTTGCCATTGCACTGTCATGTACATACCTTTGACTAGTACAATACTGTCTCCTAAACCCTCTATTTATCCATCAATGAAGTGAAAGAGACTGCTTAAACATGAGAAACAGAAATATTGAGATGAAGTGAAGCAGGTTTTGCGTGTGTGGCCTCGGAGAGAGCACCATACTTGCCATTAAGAATATCAACACAATAATAAACTCAGTACTGCATTTAAAATCTCTTTTAGCAAAGATAACAAAAAGATAAAGAATTCTTCAGCTGGAAATAATAAAGAAGATGCTTGGAATGTGGACTGAGACTCAAACCTGAAGGAAAATGGCAGATCTTAAGTGGTTAGGTATCGATGTTGCTAGTGAATATTAAAGTAAATAACAGTTATATTTATAGTTTCTGTAGAATGTCAGATGATTCTTTTATTTTATTATGAGATTTTTCACTGTACAGTGGTCCCTCGATTAACGAATACAATTGGTTCCACAGAGTCGGTTGTTAACTGAATCTATTATTTCAATGGGATATTGGGTAATTGGTTCCAACTCACAGAAAAAGTATACATACAAAGTACTGTATACCGGTAATAGAATTAATAAAACATTAAATATAAACCAAATACAGTACTGTACTGTGCAGCATACTGTCCAATAAAAAACAATAGAATACTATATTTTAACTTACTTTGAGGTGTGTATGTCGTATTCCCGGCAGCTTTGTTTACATATCAAACAGCTGATTATAGAGGCAGTCGATGATGACATGCCATATTCTTTAAAGAGTGCATTGGTTGTAATGCCTTCTTCATGTTTCATAATAATTTCTGCACTGTATATTATCAATATGTTAACTAAATTTCAGAATGACCAATAATTTTAATATAAAAAATGCAAAAATATTCAAGAGCACAACTTTTTTTATATTTACCCCACTGGAAACGAATGTAAACATAGAACCAATTACTGTACTATATTGGCGTACTAGACGATCAGCTGATGTGCACAAGAAAGTGTGTTTCTCACGAGGCTGTCGTTAATCAAAGATTTATTTGTATATGGAACTTAAAATCCTTATGGGAGCTAATTCGTTAATTGAACCGTTCGTTAATCGAGGGACCACTGTATTGGTTGTGTTAAACTTATTATTATTATTTTTTTTTAGGGAGTAGGGTTCGTAAAGGTCCTGCAATGCACCCCTATCAAATATGAGTAATAAATGCCTCTTTTTTTCTTTTGGAACACAACCCCCTACATAGAGTGAGGGCCACCTTTGGTGTATGTATCAACCTCTAGCACAGTACTTTGAATTCTGCCATAAATCCTTCAAAGTTTATATACTGTATTTTAATACCGTTATAGGTATACCCACTAAAAAATAATTCGGCACCCTTACGGCGTGATACAATATGACACAGGTTTCGAATATTTTTTAGTGGGTGTACATAATCCTGTGGGTGACCGACTTCTCATATTTTCTTCTATTCCCAGCTTACAACAGTTAATGATCACTTAATAATACAGTAAAGGGAAGGCATGAAACATATCAGGGAAATTGTGGGATGAGGATTAAGAATGCTAAAAAAGTGAAAACTGAGCCAAGATATTTAAAGTGTCTTTACTTACAGGAAAAATTAAAACTAAAATACATGAAGTGTAATTCTTCTACCAAATTTTCTACAAATTTGGGTTATTCTTGAGGAAAGAAATAAGTTTGTTCTATACAGATTTTTCTTTAGATAGCTGGTTAACATGGACTCTCCTGGTTTTATTGCTTAGGTTAATTTGGTTCATTTTTCAGCAGGAACTGGTTATATCATCCTGTGTATGAAGTAGTAACCTTATGTCTTCCTGTGAACAGACCATATTTACAACAAGAACTCGGGAAAATACACTTGTGAAAGTTGTAATTCCCCCACCTGTCTTGAGATATTCTCGAGGTAAGAAAGAGGTTTTCCTTTATAGAGAATTCTAAAGATGATAGTTAATGAAGTCCATATTCCAGAGAATGGTAATAGTATACCGGTAGTTCAGTACAGTACTCTACAATGGTTCAACTCCTTAACTAGCAACTACAGGAAATTATTTTATAAATGTTAAATGCTTTCTTACCTCATGAAAAGTCCCCCAAAACAGGTATGAATAATTTTTTGTGAATATTTTAATTTTTTTTGTCCTGAATATACTGTACACTATGACTTGCCTGTGACAGCTACATTATATGATTTATCAGACAAGAAATAAATAAAGCTAACAATATCTACCTAACCTAGGTTAGGTTAGGTGATTCTATCATCAATAAATCATATACAGGTGTACTAATGTAACAGTGGCTTGTGTGTTTTTGGAAGTACCCTGGATGTAGTCAATAGATACATCACCAGCACAGGGTTATAGGATACCTGTAGTGTTCGGGACACAAAAAAGTAAAAATATATTACGAAAAACCACTTCTTCTCATTTTGGGAGATTTTAATGTGGTAGAAAATTTTTTGTAATACAGGTACTTGAAGAAAGTGGTCCAGCCTAAGCACCAACATAAGAAAATTTCTCAACAGATGATAAAATCTTTCATACCTCAAAAAACTGATGAAAAAATGCAAAAGAAATGTTTTGCATATTTTCACTTTTTCATTTTTTTATGTTTTTCATCTCCAGGGGAACTGCAAAGGAATATTCTTCATACCCTTTTTTGACATTTTTTCAAGGTAAGAAATGTTTTATATCATCAATGGAGAATTCCTTAAGTTGGTGCTAAGACTTGACCACTCTCATTAAGTGTGTCAAATATTTTCTCAAGTTACTGGTTAAGATGCATAACCATCATAAAGTATTACCCACAGCATTACCCTTGTCAACATTGTGTAACACAGAAATGACCAATCTCCCGACCGGTGTTACGTGAAATTTCTACCCCTAAAATTTCTATCTCGCTGCTATACTGCGCATGCTCGGCCATGTGCAAAACCAAAAAACATCTGTTCTGGACATCTAAACAGACGCCACGAGACCCAACTCTGCTAAAATTATCGACAGTACGTAGGTGATTTTAGTTATCGCTGGTTGATTACAGTACCTGTATACGGTAAATATATGTTGCTTAAAATAAGGAGATTGCTACTGTCACTTAAATTTTTCTCCATTTTATTGATATTGTTGGGAAAAATGTGCCTCCCACTACTTACAAGTGGTGGTAGGTGATTTTGGTTATTGCTGGTTGATTACCGGTGTAGTGGACCAAAAGTGTACGAAACGGCACCTCCTCGCCATATATCAACCTCAATATTAAGGTAAGTTGTTTAACACTTATATTAACACGATAATGCATAGAACCTGACCTAACAAACCCAACCTATTGGGTTTATTAGGTCAGGTTGTATTAGGTTCTATGCTGTGACGTCATCAACCACGCATGCGCAGTTATCATTTCGTATACAGGTACTTCTGGTTTGCTACACTGGTATAAATATATGTAGCTTAAAATAAAGATATTGCTAGCTGTCACTTGCATTTTGCTCCATTTTATTGATACTGTTGGAAAAAATGGGTTGACATTTCACAGGGGTAGAAATTTGGATATTACTTTACTTTCGGACATGTGCCCCCGAAAGTTATAAATTACTGATACAGTACATGTAGATCTCGCTATTCTGAGCATTTTGAACCTCATATATACATAGCGGAAATGGATAATAGCGACACGATTTAATTTAATTAATTTTAAGGAGTTTTCAGTCTTCGTCTGAGAGGTGATGTTATCGGTGAATCACGCATGCGCAATGTTGACTGATGTCATCCAGTCGTGACCAATGAGGTATCAATATCATCACATAAATTTTTTTCGACCAATCAAATTTTATTTTTTTCAAAGGAAGCAGCCTGGGTACGATTTAATTTCATTGACCAGTTTCACAGTGGCCGTGGTGGAGGTTGGTTATCGTTTGTGCTCCTGTGATTATTTTAAGTAAGTTTATTGCCGAGTTACACGAGAAAGACGATTATTCTATCCAATTCTTAAGTATCCCTGGTCCTTCCACTTCTAACTAAGGTATTGTACTTTCGGATATGGCACGCCCCAAAGTTTTTAACTACTGAAACATTTAGGTTAGTTTAAACTAGGCCTACCGCCCCCGGCTAGGAGTTCGGTTAGGTTTTGTTTAGTCAGAAGACTCGTTTTCTCCCTCAGCCCAAAACCACAATTTCCCAGGCTCTACCCTATTATTGTGTGTGGGGGAGGGGGACAAAATATGTGATTTCCGCCACAAAATGAGTGTCAGATTCGTTTGAAACACCAAAATACACTGGAAAAACATGTTAGTCAACCCCTAGGGACTCATATCCTTAAGTAAATATTTACCGAAATTTCACATAACACCTGCTAGTAAACTGACCAATGGTGAAGAGGAAAAGGTAAGGATTAGCACACCTTTCCTCTGACTTATTTACCCTACTTTTCGTTAGCCACACTTGAAACATGCTATACATTCATGTCATGGAAATGGAGTGTAATGTAGTACCAGAAACGTTACTTTAAATTGAACTTTTATCTTACCAATTGGGTGATTTATGTAAGGGGTTTGTTCTGGATCTTTTCGCCTCTGATCTTTATGTTTAACTGCAGCAAAGTTTACACACTTTATGAGTGTTGCTAAAACTGCTCCATCGTCAGCACCGTTCTCCATATCAAGAATTATACTGTCTTTTTCGTGATATAAAGAGCAAGTGCTTTAGGACAGGTCGCCTTGTTCCCCTCATAGGATTTGTTTATGTTATCATGTTAAGTGACACTCGCTCTGCGCCAACCACCACTCAAGTGACAGTCGTTCTGCTCACCACTCACTAAGTTGCAATAGCGTAGAATAGCATAAATCTTACAAATGTACCAAAAATACGCAATATATTCCATCTCTAATATTATATATTAAAAACACTCAAAATTGGAAAGTATAAGATGGTTCAAGAAGATTCAGTTCACGCATGTGTAAAAAGTTACCATGGTGATAATCCTGCATCTTTACTATTAAAAAATGTAGTACAATATATTACCATCTGCATTGTAATAATATTACATAATATGAAGAAAAGATGACACATGCCGATTTTGATATTTATTCATGAGTGAGCGGGTGATCAATAAACGCTCATCTGAGTAGTTGAGGGGGGAGGGGACTAGGGGAGACAGGCTCATGGCGGACGTCAGTTTGAGTCGATACCTTGTTTGATTCGTATCTTCATCCCGATGACAGCTTTAAGGCGCATAGGATGCCGACTTTCCTCCTTCTACTCCTCGGACTAACGGCAGGATGCGTCAGGACCCAGGATAGTAGTGAGGGAATCCCCGCAGCGGTCGCCTCTCCCCTGAAGAAAGGTAAGATGGGCAACCCTGCAGCCTCAGCATCATGGTGGTACATCTCCAGGTACAAGGATGCTTCTTGACCATCTCACTCCAGCTACTGGCATTTTATAAGTATTCATTCAAATTGCGCGTTATGTATCAATAAATAAAAATTTCCTAACGTTCTCAACTTTACTGTATAGTTTAATTTGATTGTATGATCAATAAGATGTCGCTCAAATATCGTCGATTACCGTGTCTGTGTCGCAGAGAATGAGATGCTTATCTCGATGATATTTGATACCATTAGCGCAGGATTAACTCTATCCAGGACTGTATAAGCAGGCTGCAGTGCACTGTGGGAAGGATAGCCCCCTTGTGAAGCCGTAAAGCTCTAAATTAAAGTGATTGAGTGATGGAACTCGCCGTCTTTAAGTGGGTCAGTCATCAGAGTATCCATTAACGCCTTGGCCCCACTGTTGACGAAGATAATCATTTTATGAGGGTCAAAGGTTACTATCACTAGCTGGGCTCCATGATACTCCAAATAACATCATAGGATGAACCACATCCTAAACGGTTCAAGGACTAGACCCAATTGTCAGCCATTGGGTTATCCTAGCTTTGCGTATATCATGTATCCAGGGCGTTTGATAATGATAGATGCAGTGAGGACATTGTATGCCTGTACCCAGGTCTGAGAGTTACAGAGAGAAGCTGCTGCCAATACCGTACCACATACAGTATATTACTACTACTACTACTACTGATAATAATAATGCATTCCATCAATTTCTTTTCAACTGGACTGGTCTTGAGATTCACCTAGCGTAGTGTGACTGTTCTGGAGGTTCACCTAGCGTAGTGTGACTGGTCTGCAGGTTTACCTAGCGTAGTGTGACTGTTCTGGAGGTTCACCTAGCGTAGTGTGACTGGTCTGCAGGTTTACCTAGCGTAGTGTGACTGGTCTGGAGGTTCACCTGGCGTAGTGTGATTGGAGGTTCACCTAGCATAATGTGACTGGTCTGAAGTTTTACCTAGCGTAGTGTGACTGGTCTGGAGGTTCACCTAGCGTAGTGTGACCGGTCTGGAGGTTCACCTAGCGTAGTGTGACTGGTCTGGAGGTTCGCCTAGCGTAGTGTGACTGGTCTGGAGGTTCGACTAGCGCAGTGTGACTGGTCTGGGGTTCACCTAGCGTAGTGTGACTGGTCTGGAGGTTCGACTAGCGCAGTGTGACTGGTCTGGAGATTCACCTAGCGTAGTATGACTGGTCTGGAGGTTCACCTAGCGTAGTGTGACTGACGTGGAGGTTCACCTAGCGTAATGTGACTGGTCTGAAGGTTCACCTAGCGCAGTGTGACTGATGTGGGGGTTCACCTAGCGTAGTGCGACTGACGTGGGGGTTCACCTAGCGTAGTGTGACTAGTCTGTAGGTTGTTGACCTTGCATAGTGTGACTGGTCTGGAGGTTCACCTAGCGTAGTATGACTGATGTGGAGGCTCACCTAGTGTAGAGTGACTAGTCTGAAGGTTCACCTAGCGTAGTGTGGCTAGTCTGGAGTTCGCCTAGCGTAGTGTGACTACAGTAGTCTGGAGGTTCACCTAGCGTAGTGTGACTACAGTAGTCTGGAGGTTCACCTAGCGTAGTGTGACTGTTCTGGAGGTTCAGCGTGATGATCTGAAGGTTCACCTAGCGTAGTGTGACTGGTCTGGAGGTTCACCTAGCATAATGTGACTGATGTGGAGGTTCACCTAGTGTAGAGTGACTAGTCTGAAGGTTCACCTAGCGTAGTGTGACTAGTCTGGAGGTTCACCTAGCGTAGTGTGGCTGGTGTGGAGGTTCACCTAGCGTAGTGTGACTGGTCTGGAGGTTCACCTAGCATAGTGTGACTGATATAGAGGTTCACCTAGTGTAGAGTGACTAGTCTGAAGGTTCACCTAGCGTAGTGTGACTGGTTTGGAGATTCACCTAGCGTAGTGTGACTGATGTGGAGGTTCACCTAGTGTAGAGTGACTAGTCTGAAGGTTCACCTAGCGTAGTGTGACTGGTCTGGAGGTTCACCTAGCGTAGTGTAACTGATGTGGAGGTTCACCTAGTGTAGAGTGACTAGTCTGAAGGTTCACCTAGCGTAGTGTGACTGGTTTGGAGATTCACCTAGCGTAGTGTGACTGGTCTGGAGGTTCACCTTGTGTAGTGTGACGTCTGGAGTTTCACCTAGCGTAATGTGTTTAGTCTGGAGGTTCACCTAGCGAAGAGTGATTGGTCTGAAGGTTCACCTAGCGTAATGTAATTAATCTGGAGGTGCACCGAGCATAGTGTGACTGGTCTGGAGGTTCACCGAGCGTAGTGTGACTGGTGTAGATTTTCAACTGCTTACCTGATATTGTAAGCTTTGTATCGTGGAACACACGTAAACACAGTGAGCTAGTTGTCTTTGAACTCACCTTACATACACTATGGCAAAATACGTTTGGTTATGAACAATTACAGTATTCCGACACCTTTGGCTCATTCCTGTATCTGTAGCATGAGTTTAAAGGGTAGGGCGGCAGTGTTCGCAGTGTCTTACCCCTACGGTGCCCATCATTTTCTCGAACAATCTTCCAGATAAATCTAAGGTTGGTGTAGCATTCAGACACAGCTGATCAACCCGACACTTATTTCCCTGAAGTTCGTGGTGACGCTCTTGAGAAATTAAGTGAGTTTCATGCATTTTGTTTACAAGATATCAAAATCAGTATCAATGAACGGCATGGTTATTACCGTATCTATTCAAACATTGCGCTTACGCCTCGCCCCATAGTCTTCCTTTACTCCGGGAACAGTCAGTAGGAACTTCTATGACACAAGAGGTATTTACCAGTTTGCGGCCATGTTGGTATACTGCTTCATCGATTCATCACTAACCACAGTTTCTTTGAATAAAAGTATAAATCTGAGAATTAATTAAAATTTATTGCAATTGTGTTCAGGTTCAACAATTTCCAAAAGACTTGTAGTGTAATTAAACACAGCGTTTGTTATCAATATCACGAGCTAGGAACCAGCAAGAAAACTCAACATTCAATTTCATCTTCGTCTTACTTATGTTATAACTATATTTTGTATCAAATTCAACAGTTACAAACTCAGACATAGTTAACCAGAGGAAACAGAAGGGTAAATGACTCACTTTACCTGCCAAAACTCGGTTAGAACAGATTAACAAATTTCCACCGTATTAAGGTTAGCATATAAAACTACAGGAAAAACTGGAATATGCAGTACATTTAGGGGAACTGGTGTCGCCTAATGATAGTCAGAATCAGTGTGTTTAGAACACTGAGTCCCACAAGTCCCAGGTAACTGATCTGACTTTCTGCCTCATTTACACACATTGCAGGGTCTCAGTTGTTTCTCTTACTACTGACAACACAACATACTTATATCGTTTCTCACTTTTGACTTTTTTTTGTATAGGTATTTCTTTATGGTTCATTATTATTATTATTGTCATTATTATTTTAGTATTTAATTTTTTATTTATTTTTATTATAAATTTTATTTACGATACTATGAATTATTATTATTATTATTATTATTATTATTATTATTATTATTATTATTATTATTATTATTATTATTATTATTATTATTATTATTATTATTATTATTATTATTATTACATTTCCTCCCCCCAGGCCGCGATGTGGGTCTTTAGACCTGTGCCCGAGTGGGCTAATCGCCGTAAAAAAAATTAAAAATAAAATAGAAACAACTTTTGTGTAAAACGAAGAGTACGGCATCTGACGACAGTGTGCTACTGGTGTTGACTCAAGGGTGTGAAACATGCAGAAACAACAAAACATTTGATAGGCATAGTTTGTTAGAATAAACTTGAGGTGCTTACTATCAGTAAAACTGAGGTGTTGCGGGTTAAAATAGATCACTTTAATACACTGAGCTACAGCTTCTTAAAAATAATAATAACGATCACAAATTTTTCATTCATAAAAAGAAATTCAAGACTTCTCCAAAAAAAATAATTGGCTTGGCATTTATTTTATAAAATAATTTTGAAAATGAATAATTTCCGGAGTACCCAGAAAAAGCCTGATTGTTTGGTAATGTCACACTGGATAACACCTTTCTTATATGTGTCCAAGACCGGGGAATGAGCCCGGGACACAAACGTGAGGGGCAAGTGCGTTCTAGCTGTGTCATTCAAATTACAAGTACAGTACTGAGATAGAGTAAATAAATACAGGTAGCTGCGATTTTAGGCTGAAATATTAGAAGAGGTCATTATTATTATTATTATTATTATTATTATTATTATTATTATTATTATTATTATTATTATTACTACTACTAGTACTACTACAGTATAGAATTGCGGTATTATGATTGGGTTTACTCTTATTTACAAATTTATATATCTGTTTTCTGTGAAAATACATCAGTGTGCCACTTCAGCTGGTAGTGATCTTTGGAAGTACAGCATTAGTGAAATGTATTCAGCACTCTTGGCTTTATTCACAGGACGGTTGTCGTGAAATGTTACGAGTAAATAACTCTGAAAGTTTTGGGACGGATAGCAAACTTTAGGTTCGGTGGTCCAATTGAGGAGCGGTTAGTTGGCTCCATTTTTTATTGTAATATTCCTTGAAACAATTTATGTAATTTATTAGTATTGCATGGAGACTCCGTTAAAATGCAGTGAAAAATACTGTTGAATCAAACTTATATTTTGAGTTTGTCTAAAAAATACCACACTAAACCACATCACACCACACCACACTATACCACGCCACCATATTGCACCACACCATTACACCACACCACATTACACTGCACTCCACCACACTACACACAACACTGCACACTACACCACATCACACCACACACCATACTACACTACAGCACACTGAACCACACTACACAACACACCACACTACATCACACTACATCACACAACACTACATCACATTACACAACACTCCTACACCACACTACACTAATATAATAAGAATGGTTGTCCCTCGTGTAGCGAG